CACTCCTTGGCAGCAAATTCCACTGTCGAACAGCTCTTACTGTCAGGAAGTTCTTCCTAATGTTTAGGTGGAATCTTCTTTCTTGTAGTTTGGATCCATTGCTCCGTGTCCGCTTCTCTGGAGCAGCAGAAAACAACCTTTCTCCCTCCTCTATGTGACATCCTTTTATATATTTGAACATGGCTATCATATCACCCCTTAACCTCCTCTTCTCCAGGCTAAACATGCCCAGCTCCCTTAGCCGTTCCTCATAAGGCATCTTTTCCAGGCCTTTGACCATTTTGGTTGCCCTCCTCTGGACACGTTCCAGCTTGTCAGTGTCCTTCTTGAACTGTGGTGCCCAGAACTGGACACAGTACTCCAGGTGAGGTCTGACCAGAGCAGAATACAGTGGCACTATTACTTCCCTTGATCTAGAGCTATTACTATGGCATACTACATGGAGCAACCCAGCTAACCATTTAAACAATATCTACAACCTTAGCTCATGTTAGTTTTTCCAAGAACTAAGCAAAGGAGGCCTCTTCAACTCGGCAGTGGTTATCTTTGCAAAGGGAGATAGTATTACAATAACTGGGTGCCTATTACCACTAGTTTCAGCTGCCGTGGAATATATCAGGAATGTAAGTAAGCGGTAAGAGAAAGTGAGGTGCAATCTTCTTGTTTGGTGTAACCACACAAAGAAGCTGATTTACAATGGGATGCAACCTTTCTAAGTTAAATACTGACAATGGGTGCTTACTGGCAAGGGGCAGGGTTCACCTTACAAGTCCTACCAGTGAAAGCCCTGACCTAGATATTCTGCTTGTACAATGGGGCTTCCTCGCCTCTCCTTCCCTGACACTCCCTAAAATTGGCTTGGGGGAGTGCTCAAGAGACTTGCCAGACCAGTGCAAGGGGCAGAGATGGGGGATCATTTTATCTGGCAAGCCGCAGTGCTTGCAGTGACAGGACGTTCACCATTGGATGACAGTGAATTCCACCCAAGGACTTTATATCATTCAGATCCTGTTTTTATGTGTGACTAATTTGCACATTAGCATCCACCGTGAAGACTGTGCTGGGGAATCAACAATTTCAGGAGCTCCCGCATCAGTGTATACTGGAAGGAGAAATTCCTTTGTCTGTTTCAATAAAGGGATTTGGTGAGAACTTCTAAGTGCATTTTGTCCTATCTCCCTAGGGACTCAGCTACATTAGTAAAGAAACAACGATTTGAATGTGCTATAAACATGCAACACCAGATGGCGCCAGAGAGCAGTAAATTTTTACAGTTTTTCCATAGGGTTTTTATTTTTCTTTTGTTATAACAATATAATTTCTGACTTATTTATAGAGTTTTTTCCTGTGTGTAGATCCACCCTAGGTCTCTCTAGCGTCTTTCCCCACAAAACTGAACCTTTTGAGCCAATGTGACAACACAAAATGGCAGCCCAATAGTGTTCTTCCAGCACTGCAGACTCTAGGTGACTATATTGCTGTTGTTTTGATCGGCCTCTCCCACAAAGCCACACACACCTGACTGCATGTCCAGTACGTAGCTAACCAAAGTAGCAGAACAGCCACATGGCACAAGATAGAAATGTTCACAATACACCAGCTCAATTGAAGTCTAACAGGATTTTCAAGAAAACACTCTAGTTAAATCATGTGATCCTCTCCATATACACACAGCGACAGCAAAGGAAAGCAATTTAACAGAAGAGTCTGAGGAACTGCAGGGCACTTAAGAAAGCAAAGGTTCATGTAGAGCCCATTTTTTCCTAGAATTGCAAAATTACTTTTAACAATTTACTACACCATGAACAGATTTATGTGCCCACTCTTTGTTGTAACCTTGATGATAATGAACATACTAATTATAGTTTACGCACCCATCAAAAATTATTTACCTCAGGCAAGTGGGTGAGAGGAATTTTGCAAGACTGAATTAATTGCCTTAATTGATGATTATCAAGACAGAGTAGAAGGGCAGGGCAGGACTGTCTGTACAAATAATTGGATTGGCATTTAGCAAGTTATCTGTTGAGGAGATGTTTCGTTGCTTGCTTTTGCATAAAATATAAAGATGTGTTTGCTGGATATGGAATGAGGGGCAAGGCTTCAAATAAAATGCAAGGATCAGAAACATATGTAAATAGGTTTGTTTTTTTACAAAGAGAAAGTACACTGCAGGATCGCAAGTGACAACAAAAGTAAGAGAGGGTCATATCCCACTAAGAAACACAATAAGGCTCATGAAACAGGCCGTCAATGCAAGAAAAGGACAAAAATAATTGAACTTTATGGTTGAATGGCAATGCCTTTGGTTTGGTTTTGTACATACTTCCTTACGTCAACTAGGTTGTGCAAGAGTCTGCATCCTGTCTTTCCCTGAAGCTCAAAGCTACATACATGGGGGCTCCCATTTTATCCCCACAATAATCTTGTGACTGCCCGGCCCACAGTCAGTGAACTTTCTTGCTGAGCAGGAATTTGAACCCAGGCCTTTTGAAACAAAGTTCGACACACTTGCCACACTGGTTCTCTGGCAATTAGCAGTTGAGCTTAGTTTATTTTTAACACTTCCTCTTAGGCTTCAAGATTTTCTAGAGTCAGGATCTTAGTTAACAAAAAGTGTGTCAATAATAGTAGTAGTAATAATAATAATAATAATAATAATAATAATAATAAATAATTCATTTGAAATGACCCTGCAGACTATTTTTTCTCTTACTCTTAAATACTGATTACCTATTTTTCTACCACTTTGTCAAATTATCTTTCTCCTGGACCTTGCCATGCAGCATGGCATTCATGTGGCACAGTTGGCACTCATGCCTATTTTAGGCAGACTTAAAAGTTCTCTATAAAATAATCACGTAATAAGATTCTAGCGTGTCTTGATATAATAAATAATGTTAGAGTAGATCAAGCAATAATAATACAGTGGTACCTCGGTTTACGAACGCAATCCATTCCGGAAGTCCATTCTTAAACCAAAACCATTCTTAAACCAAGACATGCTTTCCCTAATGAGGTCTCCCGCCACCGGTGCCCTTCCACCTTTTGGATTCCGTTCGTAGACAAAGGTAAAGTTTGCAAACTGGGACACTATTTCCGGTTTTGCGGAGTTTGTAAACCAAATAGTTCATAAAAAGGGCTGTTCTTAAACCGAGGTACCACTATATCTAAAACCGTGATCTATTTGCTGTATAGTCTGTGGTGGTTTTGAGTGGCTGACTGTTTTGTACATCATTTCCCACAAGGCACATGACTTTTCTTAAGACCCCGCTCCACAGCATGTTGAACTAAACACCAGAGCCAAAGATTAACCAATTCTTTTTGTTAGAATGCGAGAGAAACAGGTTATCAGACAATTCTATTGTGTAGAAGCTGTAATTATCAGGGAATTCAGCAACTATACTATATCAATTTGTTTTGCAAAATGCTAAATTATGAGAAATAAATTTACTTCTCTTTTTCTTAAGGTCTAAAAATAAGGGGCAAAAGTCAGAATATGTAATAATTACCTGCGGGCATTACAAAACTATATTGGTTTGGAAGTCATTGGGAAACTTCCCCTGCCCCACACTGTCTCTCCACTGCAGTTTGCGTGAGTTGTAATAATATACTTTCTTATTGCAACAATATATGTAAATAACATATTATGGAAAGGTTGCAGGAGGGGTAAGAGACATGTATAGAAATAAATTATGTTGACTATACAGTCTACTTCTTTACCAAAGGAGGTTGAGTCATGTTGCAAGAAGTGCCATTATAGAAACATGCACACTGGTGCTTGATGAACAGACAGGAAATTCATTTTGGTGTGATTAGCAGTATTCTCTCTTCAGAACACAGTTTAAACTTTACAGTAATCTAAACCGGAGTAGTTGCAGCATGTGGATCATTGTGGCTGCATTCTCCACCAAATTCTGTTGAACTCTACAGTCTTGGCTATGTAGGAAGCAGAAGGGATTACAATGTTCAGGATGGCTCCTTGTTCTTGTTTATCTAGACTCAGCTTCCATTGTGCCTTATGAGAACGCCCCCCCCCCCCGGCAGCTTGTGGACACCAAAGGTCCAAATAGATTAGCTTTCTGTTTTCTACCTCTGGGAAGCTGACAAGCAGGGCATAAAAAAAAGTGGCATCCTAGAAATAAGGAATCTCAGGGATGGGCAGGGTTGCCTTACATTTGGACATACCCAGTATTCAGCCCCTATAAACAGCGTCGGGAAGGAAATTGCTGAAATGACTGGGGAAATCTGGATGTCGGTAGTGTAGAATTTTGGCGAATTTCATTTAAAAAAGCTCAACAACTCTTGTATCTGGATTTTCACTTTTTGAAATATGGCAACCCTAGGGATGGGCCTTCCATGTGTTGCTGGACTACAGTTCCTATCATTCCTGACTGCTGGCCATGCAGGCTGGGGCTGATGGGATTCTGAGTCCAAAAACATCTAGAGGGCCACATCCCTAAGTGATCCCCTGTTGTTTCTTCCCTACATGTGGTGCTCAGATGTACTGGGGCTTTGAATTTGGTGAATCATGGCAAATTAGTATAAATAGCACCATAACCTTTCTGCCCACTCCATCCTGACGGAATTTTGCAGCTCTTGTTGCTTCCAAAGTTAATTTAGCCTACATAATGCAATATATTCAATTACACTAGGGTGTGCTTAAATTAATCTTGTTATAGTTTTCTGGCACTATTTAAGCTTTATGCTTTTGTGCAATTTCTGAACCTAAATGGAAACTGAATTATTTTAAAATGGACTCTGAATTCCATCCTGTGGTATCCTGCAATGTACCGTACATTTTTGCTAGTTTGAGGCATTCCTGCTTGTTATTACCTTTTGGGTAGCTGCCAGTCCAAATAACAGTCAGATCATGGTATGCAACATACATTTTTATATTAAGTGTGAAAAGATTCTTAATGGATGTTTGCTGAAATTAATGCTAAATGTAAAACAAACTCTAACATAATAAATTATGTGAATTATTCTTTATTTTTATTGATTGATTGATTCAAATCTATGCATTGTTTGACCTTGAAAAGTACTTCTTCCAAGAGAGTGTGTGTGTTTTTCCATTTTTGGATTGATTTTTAAAAAAAGCAAATTCTGTGCTTTTAAACTATTACTTAAATAGTCGGGACACAGTTGTCAAATTGCTTTCAGATGACATTCAGGAGACTATTATCTAAAACTGTTTGTGAGGAGTTCCCAAAAGAATCTATTCAAATTCAGTAAAGGCATAGCAAAAAATGGCAGACAGTTAATAGATAATAAGCAACGCACACTGGTAACAATTCTAATGACACATATGGACTGATGAGTTCTGAAGTGGCTGTAGCAACCCAAGAAAGAAATCTGGGCATCATCATAGTTAGCATATTGACAATATCAACCTAGTACATGAAAGACGGACAAATAGATTTTGGTCTTTATTTGTATTATTTTGGAACAAGATCATGCCTACCCATTTTCTTCCACCCCGAAGCTGTAAATTATTTTTATTATTTAACAAAAATTATATACTGTTTACTTGGACAAAAAACCTCTAAGCAGTTTGTGCGCATGTTTTGTATTTCAATGTTATGACTTAAAAATAAAAAACAGGCAAAACATTCCTCTTCTCCCCAGCCTTTGTTTAATTAAGCAATATATGGCCTTTTTCAAAATTGTGGGTTTTTTGTTGTTGTTCCCATGTATGTATTTTTGTGTTTTTATATTGTAAATCACCCTGTGATCCTCAGATGAAGGGTAGTGTAGAAAGTTAATAAATAAATAAATGTATGTTGGTTGCATTAGCGAGCTGCCACAGTGAAAATGGCAACCTTAATGTTCAGAGTAGTTATTATGCATACGGAAGGGTTGGATGCAAATGTAATAAGGGAGGGTTTAGCATGTTTTACATTCTACCATGTCAACATTCTAAGTCTGTAATGTAAATGACTGTGTTTCCTTCACTGAACTGTCAAACAGAATCCTAAAAGGTTATTGTGACATGCCATTAAGCATTCAATGGCTGAACCTGAAGACTGTTGAAATTAGTGCAGTACACTCAACTAATATGTAGGCTCCATAAGCAGAAAGGAGTACATTAACGTTAATACTGACACAAACGTAGGGAATTCCCAAGCTAACAAGACGATAAATTTGGCCGTTGAAGGTTTTGTTCTGGCAAATACTTTGACGAAAACAGATTTGCTTCAGCTGTCCTCAGCTTTAGCAGATCATGAGGTAAAATCTTGGCTATTTGAACAAGAAACCACCTGTTAGGTACAACATCTAAAATGCTTTTATATCTTTAGTGACTGAAACTTTTAATTAGGGAATTTGTCTCCCAAGAGGGTGGGGTATAACTTTTCCTTTCTTCTCTGAAAAGAGATAAATGCTAAAAGACTGCATGATTTATTTTCTTCACACCTTTTTGCTTGTTTGTTAGAAAATGTGATATGACTGACTTACTATGTAAAATTAAAGCAGAGCAGGGGCGAGGGAGGTAATTTTACATTTTCAGTCCCTTGAAACCTCTTAACAGGCTTTCCTATATTTGGATGTCATCCAGAAACTCTATTGAGGAGTTTTGGTAAGCCCTTTTTCTCCCTGCTAGGCCAGGTATACAGCTGTATGCAGCCTTTGTCTGCAGCTTTCAAATATGGAAATTGCTTTGCCTTATAGCAGTGAAAGGGGTGCTCATTCCATCTTGTTCTCGTCTCTGCCCATCTTTTCAAGGGCAGTTCTGTAAGAATGACTGACTTCTTGGGAAACAGCAGGAGAATGCCTTTGGGAAAATTGTATTCCACACCCAAAGCTCATAGGATTGCCATGAATCCCAAGAAGGGTGAGTCTGTGCCTTTATTTTCTTGGGGTTTCTTTCCCACCCTTTAGCCTTTATGAATAATCATTGGGTAGGAAATCTTGCTGACAAGGTACATGTTTACATGAATCTTTTTCATGCAGGACTAACTAGTTCTGAATGTAGATATCTTTCAACTACATTAACTAGTTTACTGTCAAGCATAAGTGCTTGACAGTTCTTGCAGAAGCGATTTATTTTATATTAGCTCACTGATGCTATTCTTGCGAGACACACTAAGGGCCAAACTGGAGAATACATTAAATGCATGATTACATTTACATATTTTAATTCCCCCACCCCCTTAAATTCGGCTGAGCCCCTGCAATTCAGATCAGCACTGCAGCGGAGGTGTTTGACCCATCTGCCCTGTACCACAGTTTCAACAAAAATAATCCCCAAAAGTGAAGCAGCCATGGGCAGAAAATCTAAAGATAAGGATATGCAAATATGACTCCTTAGTTAGCTTATTGTCTAGCATAGTTTTGTACAGAAGGAAGTTCTGCCCTACCCATTGAACTGGAGTCTTCAGTATGTTGTATTTAATAGTTTTTTAGCTTGGTGTGGATGGGCGGGGGAAAGCGCTATCTTGGTCCCTCCTCTGTTTTCTGTGTTTTCTTACTGAAGGATTTTAGGTAAGCATAAATCTTTCACTACAAATCTGTGAATGTGTTCAGCTCTCATTTAGAACAGGATATACAAAACTCTTCAGGATTTAAGGATATAGGCTGAATGCAGTACAGAAATCCACAGAAAACCATCCCAAATCCCCAACATACTTCCCTAAATAGACCACGTTTTAAGAGAGATTCCCCACCTCTCATTTGCAAGGATTCAAAATACGCCTGCATGAATAATGTTATGAATCAATGCGATCCAGCTTTTTCAGTTGATAGTTGATAAATGTAGCAAAACATTTGCTCCTGCAATGACAAACCATGGTTATTAAGGTGAAAAAACCACCCTTATTTCTCTTCCATTGCCTTCTGATATTGGAGAAAAGTTTGCATATTATATAAGATGCTAACTTGATGCATTATATTACTGCTGCTCTAGTGGCGTAGGAGTATTTATGTTAAAAGCAAACGAGTTCAAGCATGCTTCATTTATTATTTCTGATTACCACAAATAATTCAATTCATGCAAGTAAGACAAAATGCTCAGGTAGAGCTACACAGAACACATGTCATGAGTTTTCACTTATCAAAAGCTGTGCTTGCCTAGGCTGTGTGTTGGTGAGACAAGGTGTGGTAATGAGCACAGGAGTAGGAGTTGGGAGTGCCGAAATTCTAATCCTATGGCTTTCACAGCCTTGGGCAAATAATTTAAACATGTTGTTCCTAGGTTATTTCAAGTGTAATCTGAGTAGTATGCATGGAAGGCAGTGAATCCATTGTTTTTGGTTTGATGGTTGAAGCCACTAATATACACTATGTACTTCTTGGGTAACAAGGTTTGAGCTTAATAAAACGTGGTTTTCAGTGTTTATACAAAGTTATCCCTGGTTAATCTCCACCAAATACATTTCAGGCTTTTATTAAAATCATGCCACAAGTTGAGAGGGTGGGAAAGACGTGGGGTGTTTAAAAAGAAAGCTACATTAAAAAAAAATACTGTATGTTATGAGACTTGTACAGAGATGTATCAGCTGGTGAACATAATGTCCAGTAATTTTTAAGTAGCTCTTTTAATATTAAGACATTTTTATTGCTTTCAATAAAATACAAGATTAAGGAAGTCATACGTTAGGCCCCTTATCTATCTGTGGTGTGAGGTGACTGCTGGAAAACTGCAGGTATCCCAGTTGTACTGAGATCTACCAAATTTATTTAGAAAGGACAAATTATTTAATAACAAAGCAAAACACTTTTGCTTCCCTTTTGCCACAGCAAAAGTTAGTGTGCAGAAGCATCCAATGACCAAACTGGATAATAATTATAGGGGAAAAGGTAGAAATAATCAAGATAGGAAACTACCATGTAAAAGGGATTAGCCAGGTGTTGCTCAAGATTCAGTGGTGCCATTTGAGCTCCATGGCTCACCTGGTTTCGTCAGGTTATTTTCAAGACAATAATAATGTCACAGTAATTCTCAATTATGAATAGGGGGTAGGCTGGGTAAGATGAGGTGGTGACAGCCACAATGGATAAAACCTTTGACAAAGATTGACACCTTTCCTATCTGTACCTTTGTTCTCAGTTAAAACTGACAAGTGCTCTTCAGGAGGAACTGCCAAAAAAAGTCAATAGCAACTGCATCTCATTAAAACCTAGCAACACAAATACACATTTGATGTTGCCTTAGGGCTGCATCTCACTTTCCTTTTTGTATCCAGGTACACACTGTGGAGGAGTGCAAAATTGTCCTGGCCCTCCCCAGCCAAAAAAGGCACATTTCTGATAGTTAACCCTTTATTGACAAGAAAAGCACTTACACCAGCTTCCACAATGCTCTGCGCACGTGCACACACAGACTTCTAGCCTCTAGGCAGCTGTCCAGAGATCTAGACCCTGCAGAGCAATTGCAGCAACAGGGAAACCCCTGCCCCACTGTTGGCTTATATGCCCTCCCCTGACAGGTTGTGTGCTTATAACCTGAGACCTGTTGCTCTTCCCAAACCCCTCCTTTTCTAGGAGGCAGCAGGGCAAAGGAAAGTGGGGAGTCTACTGAACCATCTGTCAGCTGAACAGCCTCTTCTTCTTCTGCCACATCTGGTGCTCCTTCCTCCATCTCCGACTGCCCTGACTACCCCTCTTTCCCTGGCTCCTGCCTTGCAGGCAGCATCAAACCCCATAAATCACTGGTCCCCTCTCCTGTGTCACTCTCCGGGGGCCCTGCCTATGCCACACACTGCCAATCCCTGGCAACAATATGTGTACACAGCAATCGATATGGAGGGTTTTCTCATGTACAATTTTAGACGCATGCCTTTTTCAACAAGGAAGCACCAACTGGGCAAGAACTGGGCTGCTACTTCAACATTGTTTAAGCAGACTAGTTCTACATGTAGGTAGCTTTTCTATTTGTCAGAGTGTGAGTATACTTTTACCCAGACTTGCATACTTTTGTACAAACAAGTAGAAGAGAACTGGGCCTGATAGATGCGCCTCAACTTCTCATCTCTCGCAGTGACAATTTGCTTTGTGAAGAAATACTTCCCTTTGTCTGTCTTGAATTTTCCAACATTCAGCATTCATTGGGTGCCTCCAGGTTCTAGCATTACAAGAAAAGCTTCCTCCAAACAGTTTCTCCACAACATGTGTAATCTTCTACATCTCCGCGTCCTCTTAGTCACATTTCCTCTAATCTAAAAAGGCTTATATGTTGTAACCTTTCCTCATAGAAAATTTGCTTCAGTACCTTCATTGTTTTGGTTGCCTTTTCCTGAACCTTGTCCAGTTCTACAATTTGCTTTTCGACGTAAAGCAACAAGAACTGTATACAGCAATCCAAGTGCAGTCACACCATAGCTTTCTATAACAGTGTTATAATATTGGCACTTTTATTTTCAGTTCCCTTTCTAATAATCCCTAGCATGGAATTTGCCTTTTTCACAGCTGCTGCTTTTTAAAAAAAGGTGTTATGTTGGCCACTTCCAGTCCTCAGAGGCTGATGTTAGGGACAGGTTACATATTTTTGTTAGAAGAACAGCAATTTCACATTTGAGTTCTTTAACAACTCTCAGGTGAATACCATCTGGAGCCAGTGATTCATCCATTTCTAATTCATCAACAAGATCTGGAGCTTCCTTTCTAGTCACTAGCATTCGCCTCAGTTCTTCAGACCCCCTTCTTGAAAAACTCCAGCTACAGGGATCTTTCCCACACCTTCTGCTGTGCAGGCAGAGGTAGATAATTCATTCAGCTTCTCTGCAATCTCCTCCTCCTCCTCTAGCACACCTTTTACTCTCTTGTTGTTCAAAAGTCCAACCACTTTGCTTGACAATCTCTTGCTTCTCGTGTATTTAAATAATTTGTTGGTGGTGGTCTTAATATTTTTAGCATTGTGTTCATAGATATATATTTAGCATTCCTTATTCTTCGCATGCATTTATTTCCTCAAAATTTGGGCTCCTTTTCGTTCTCCTCATTTTAATACAGCTTCCATTTTCTGAAGGAAGACTTATTGCCTCTAACAGCTTCATTGACTCTGTTTATTAATCATGCTGGCATCCTCTTCGCTTACGTAGCAGCTTTCCTGATCTTGGTAGACACTCTAGATGAGTTTTTAATGTTGTGATTGTGAATAACCCCCAAGCATTCTGGAAGGATTTGACCCTGGCGGGATCTAGACACATTAAAGAAGTGTTTCAGCTTAAAGTGGTGTGAATTTAAACAGGGAAAACAGGTAGAGAAAAACGGGACTCCACATCGCCCTTTGGTGGAACAATGTTATATCGCATATACAACGCATATAGATCACTTTTTCTTCACCAGTCTAGCTGAGTCCCCTCTTTACTTTCCCTTTCAACATCCTTTTTACCAACCCTCTCATTTTTTTAGGTTCCTTCAAGTCAAATATGAGTGGAACTTTCTCGGGAATTTGGTAGCACTGTGGTCCTTGTTCACAATCCGTTCAACAAACTCTTACAAACTCACACAGGTGTTTGGGCATCCCCTAAGATCAAGTGTAGAGTTGCCTCTCCTCTGATCAGTTCCATGACCAGCCGCTATGAGGCTATCATTTGGAGTCTCTAGACATTTGACCTTTACCAGTCGCCTCTTTGTTGCGACTGGAACACCCATTTTACCCAGGCTATTTGAGGCTAATTGATGCCACCCATTGCTGCAGCACTTCGTCCTCTGGATGACTCCTCAATTTCATTCTCTGCCTCATTTTATTCAGGGCGGAGATAGTCTGTCTCCAGCCCTAAATTACTCTGAGGCCTGGTTTTGCCACCCACAGCGACTCTCTGGAGGAGTCTGCCCCTTTGGGGATTTCTTGTTGGGACTCTATGTTGTTCTTTGATGTGCAGAGCAACACCCCTCCAGCATGCCCTTCCCTGTCCTTCCTATGGAGCTATTCAGATATGCCTGTGTACCACTGGTTCTCTCCAATTATGTCCACTATATCTTAGGTTCTCCTTTAAATGCTCCAGCTGGCCCATTTCAGAAAAGTGTGCAATGTCTAGAGAAGAATGGCAATAGCCCCTGTCCTGAGAGAAGCAACTGTGGAAAGATTGCTTGCAGCGGAATCTGTTAAATGAACTGTTTCATTCCACACGGCCCTCTGTGTCATTGCTACTTTGTTCGGGGTTTTTTGTTTTGAGCAGTAGACGACAAATATATACCTTCATATACAGTGGTACCTCGGGTTACATACGCTTCAAGTTACATACGCTTCAGGTTACAGACTCCGCTAACCCAGAAATATTACCTCGGGTTAATAACTTTGCTTCAGGATGAGAACAGAAATCGTGCTCTGGTGGTGCGGCAGCAGCAGCAGGAGGCCCCATTAGCTGAAGTGGTGCTTCAGGTTAAGAACAGTTTCAGGTTAAGAACAGACCTCCAGAACGAATTAAGATCTTAACCCGAGGTACCACTGTAATTAGTCTTCCTTGCAAGCCCAATTTTAGAAAGCTAAGCTAGGCTTAATATTTATCACATGAGTTGTGTTGATGGAAAGTGGATTGCGAGGTTGTTAGATTTGCAACGAGCAAGTCAGATGTTACTCTGGACTTTCAAGTTTTGCATTGTCCTTTGTTGGGCAGGGTAGGCCATATGTTACATAGCTTAATTTGGGATGCAGTTGTTTAGCAGAGTTTCATCCCAGAGCTATTCAAATAGCCATACTGGCCCATGTGGCAGTGTGAGCTTCCATTAGCTAGCCATGAGTAGCAGCCAGTGGTGAAGGACATTTTACTAGCTGTAGCCACCAAACAGCAACTGACAGCCATGTTTCTGCTGTGCCTCTACACCAGCGGTCAGCAAGCTTTTTCAGCAGGGGGCTGGTCCACTGTCCCTCAGACCTTGTGGGGGGCCAAATATATATATTTGGGGGGGGGAATGAACGAATTCCTATGCCCCACAAATAACCTAGAGATGCATTTTAAATAAAAGGACACATTCTACTCCTGTAAAAACACGCTGATTCCCAGACCATCCGCGGGCCGGATTGAGAAGGCAATTGGGCCCGGATCTGGCCCCCAGGCCTTAGTTTGCCTACCCATGCTCTATACCGTCCTGTGAGGATCTGTGCCAATGCAAACAGATGATGCTATCAACCTGATGGTGTTATCAACAAAATAAATCTCTGCACAGATGCTATGGGGCAGCACATGCACCACCATTAAGTACCTCAAGGGAACAGGGTGCTGTTTCCTTCTTAGCTGCACCTCAGCAGTGGCAGCTAGGAACAAAAGTGTGCTTCACTGCGGGGGTGCACAATTCAGCCGAAACACTTTCGACCCCGTTGGCTTCAATGTGAGAGTCACAGAGTTGTTTAACTCTTCCCTGCTGAAATCAACAGAACAATAGACAGTAACCCTGGACAGATTGTGCCTCTGGGAGATGTTTTTGCTTCTTAATCGTTCCAAAAAATCAGCATGTTCTTTGTCCTGATTGAGACTGCCTTCTCTCCTCATGACAAGCCAAAAAAGAGCTTCTCAAAGCAAAATGTATTTAATTGGCTGAAGAGCACTAAAAGAAAAATATAATAATTAAAACCAGAGAGTCACCAAGTCTTGCAAGCCACAGGGGTTGGAGAGAGGCACGTGCTGACCTCATGAAACTCCACAGGAGATCCTGGAGGGACAGTTTATACTTAGGAAATACAATTTTAATTAAACTGTCCCGGGGAACAGACAACAAACTCCAAAGAGCAGGTCACCAAGATTCCAAAGGTCAACTGAAGACAAAGCAGAAAGGAGACACTTCATTTCAGAAAGTTCCTATGTACAAGCACAAGCTCTTTTATCAGGAGATTTAAAAAATACCCACGATGCAGAGTAAAATGGAATTAATCTGCATCTGCTCTTCACATTATGAGATTTTGTCATCACAAATACAGTACAAATGTTAGCTATTTATTGCCTGCAAGTGTCATTATCACCAAAAAGCATTTTTATATTCTAATGATTTACAATACATGCTTTGTCTGTTCTCCAAGCAACCCTAGGAACACAGGATGCTCCTTATTCTGAGTCAGGCAATTGGTCCATCTAGCTAGTATTGTCTACACTGACCAGCAGGAGGTCTCCAGGGTTTCAGACCCTTCCTGGGGATGCTGAGGATGGAACCTGAAACCCTCTGCAGCTGCTCTTCCCTAATAAATGCAGGACACTGGTTCTATTTTACAGATTTGTGTCTGATATTAAGAAGAATGCATTGATCTGCCTATTTCCCTGTTCAGCACCCCTAGATCAGTCACTTTCTAAAGTGCTTCACTATGGCATGGTACTTGTTACAAGTTTGTGGGTGCTAAATGCCTGGGCTCAGTAAATGTTAGAATTTAGTTAGAGCTTGTGTGTTAAAATGGGATGTCAGACCCATGTGTCTTAAGATGTGTGTTAGATGCTTTTTTATCCCCTTCAATTAGCATGTGTGAAAAGGCAATTACGTTAGGCAAACTTTCTATATTGTGTATTAGACACGGCAAAAGAAGAGGAAATCAACCTGTGTTAAAAAGTTAATTAACTCAAACTAATATCCTTGGAGGTGTTAGCCTATGGTTAGCACAACAATGTATCAAATGGAAACTCTAGGAAGTGACAAGGGGGTGGAGCCCCTTTCACACTAAAGATAAAGGGAAGCCATGTGTTTTAGAATGAAGGAATGTTAGGAGTTACGCAACAGGGAAGAAAGTAATGGACTGGAGAAACAGTCAAAGAGCCATGGCTGGGGTCTGTTTGAACACTTGCTGCACTTATGGAGTGGGTGCAGAACCTCTTGGGGTATGAATGCTGTGCACCTCAAGGCTCAAGTTGCATATATGCGTAAAGAAACAAGACACCAAGATGAAGCTCCTACATGCGCCGTGTCAGGAAGATTTTGGGCATTGCATGGCAGGAGAGACTCAAATGAAGATGTGCTGTCCCAAGCCCACATTCTCAGCATGTTTGCAATTCTGCCTCAGCAATGTCTATGCTGGGTTGGTCACGTCCACAGAATGGAAGATGGCAGGATTCCCAAGGGCGTGCTCTGCAGGGAGGTGGCTTTAGGCAGCAGGCCCATTAGCAGACTAACTCTGCATCACAACGATGTCTGCAAAGGTGACATGAACGCTGGCAACTTCAACGCCATCATGTGGAATCCCTTGCAGATGACCGCAATAACCGGAGACAATCAGGTCATGTATCCACAACAAAGACCAGAGGAGGAATGAAGGCTAGGAGGATCGCAAAGAGAAGAAACACCATGCTGAATCTGTGACAGCGAAACCAGATGCCTTCGTCTGCCCCAGCTGCAACAAAACACGTCTTTCCTATATCGTTCTATATAGCCACAGCAGGCGCTATAACTCTCCGACTTCACTCCTGAGGGAGTACTCTCTTCTATTGTCTCTCAAGACAGATGGATGCCAACCAGTACACACCATACAGTTAAAGCACTCTGCAAAAAAATAGGATCATTGGAACTACAGTTTGTTAACAGCACTGGGAGCTGTAGCACTGTGAGTAGTAAACTACAGTTGTCAGTATTCTGGTGTGGTAGAGAATGCACTTTAAATGTATGGTGTATATGCAGCTTATATAATTTTGTTCCATGCTATGCACTGAACTGTGGTGTACTTTTCAGTCCAATTATGCAAGAGGAGGGATGGGCCACCGATCCAATATAAAATGTAGCATCTTCAAGATGCAAAATGAAAGCAGCTGCTGAAGCCAAGCTGACCAGATGTACAGCTGCATAAAGATTTAAAAGGCAGCAAAGGAGATGGACTAAAACAGAAGAGCAGTGGAAGCAGCAATTATTCTTCATTTATTTGGAATTACTTTTCATCTATTATTTAATTATCAAAGCTAACAAATATTTACTTAAGTCATATTTTAAGGTACTCTCTGTCAGTTAAAAAGATTCCTTTGTCCATGCATCCAACTGCAGCTTTCTACATTCATGGCTAAGTGTGTCTGCTGGGCTTAACCAGGAAGGTTCAGAGCAAACAACATGCATTTTCCAAGTCACTACATGTTTATCCCAAGATCGAACAACAAACAGCAAACAGGGGTTACTATATACAAAAGAAGAAGCATCTGGCAAGCTGGTTAGACTGGTGAGTCAGTTCTTTCCTGCGTTCCCAAGGTTTGAGTGGAAACTCCATTTCCTGGACAAAGTTGGTAGTGGCACAAAATGCCATTTAAAAAAACACCCACTGCCCGATTAAAATTCTAGATGGGATCTGAAACTGTCTCCTGGCTGTTTTTTATCATTGTCACCTCTCCTGGAGGTGAAAAGTCAAGGTTATTTGAATATATATTAAATAATTTAAATATATCCAGTTTTAAATTGTCCGTACTATGGAGACCACATTTCTAAAACATTTAGGAGAAAAACAAAAGGCATGTTCGGTTGCCAGATTTGGTGGTTGGCTTCCGGCAAGTAGACACCCCCCCCCCCCGCATGCATTATGCCCTTGGTGTGGAATTCCCCACCAACAAAGATCCAATTGGCACCTGCATCAACTTCTGTTGACTGCCAGGCAATGCCTGTCGTATTTACCTGGACTTTTAGCTGTTAATTGGGGGGGGGGGGGTTCGTTTTAATTTTTTGCAGAGTCTTATATGCTTCACCATGCTTTTCTTTCTGGCTTCCACAGCGCTGAATTGGGGATTTGGGCCTTTATTTTTTTGTACGCTGGTGCATTTTTTTATTTATCTGCTGTTTCTTTTTATTATGATTCATGATTAAAAACAGAACCACCTTCTGGGTTATTATTTAGAAGACATCTGAAGGCAGCCCTGTTCAGGGAAGTTTTTAATGTGTGACATTTTAATGTATTTTTAATCTTTGTTGGAAGCCGCCCAGAGTGGCTGGGGAAGCCCAGCCAGATGGGCGGGGTACAAATAATAAATTATTATTCCTAGGTACTCCTGCCCCATTTATGCAGTCCTTCTGCTTGCGCTTTATTTCATTTGAGCAAAATGTCTATGGTTATGGTGTACAAGATGCAAGTATATAAACGGAAGGCCCATATATTGCAGGGATCACTTGGAAGGGCACTTTGCACAGAGACATACTGCAGCCTCCAGTTGGTGACGGAAGTCACACTATTCAGATTCAGGGGTAGGGAACAGGTTTGCCCCTAAACACACACACACACACACACACACACACACACACACACTTGTCCCCAAAAGAGTAGTCTGATTTTCTCCAACAGACTGACAGCTATTTACATCCACAGAAGACACAAAAGAGTGCACTTAGAATTAGCACTAGGGTGCAGCTACACAAACCTATCCGTGTTGTTTCTTGGGCATGCTCAAGTGTGACTATACAGTGCAGCAGTAACCAGGAACTGGCTTTTACATAGGCGCATGCCACAGCAATGGAATAAAAACTGACGTGTATAAGCACTATTCCAACCATTTCCTGAGAACAGAAAACTATATTTCTTCCTCAGTCTCCCCACTTACATATTTTGCAAGGAAGATGTAAAACTGCACTTCCTGAAGTGTTCAAATTAGAAACAGAAGATTGTGAATTTTACTAGCCAGTATAACTTAAATATTTCAACTGTTTGTTCCTTAATTTCTCCACTCCAAGAGTGTCTGCCTCTTGTAGATTCATAACAGAATCCCCCAATGTATCGGAATGTGTGCTAATCCATGAGAGGCTGATAATGTAGATAAACCTGCTGGGTCAATAAGCAAACTGTGGTTAGTTTCCAGTCCCTTCCAGTACTGATTTTGTGCCTCTCAGCTAGCTTACATCTCAATGAAATGAAGAGATGTGAACCAGCAGAGCAATTTGAGGATTTCATATGTACTTTGCATTACATCACTGAAGCTCATGTTTCCTGTGACTATATTTTATGATGTACCACAGGACATCTGGAATTATCACTCCAGCCATTGAAAGGCAAAACAATTCCTGTCTCCCAGAAAAACCAAACCAGTATCCCAGTAAGAAAATTTCAAACCCCAAATTTTGGTTGTTAAAAAATTATAAACAAGTAACCAAGCTTTAAAAGCATCCTAACGGGAACTAGATTTTAAAAGCTGGAGTATACACTGACTAAACTAAATCATCTTGGTTGGAACAACAGAGAAAACCCAGTCTACTACAGATACAATGGATGGATAAAGTGGTAATTAGCATAAGCTGCTAATGATTATGTGTTTTGAATTGCCTGAGCAAAGACAAAATGCCTGTAAAAGTCAAACCAAGTAAAAAAAAGTCACAGAAAAAGTAAGTTTGAGCATTTCTTCCATTTAGGTTTTTTTAAAAAATAAAAAAGACAAAAAATACTTTTGTACAGTGCTGGATGCAATAGTATTGAGTCCTTTTCACAAACATGTCTCTTTTCTTTTCTATGTAAACACCCCAACAATCTCCCAAATACAGAGTTTAAGTACCTTTATGCATCTTTATGTCCCTTATCTAAGCAATAAGGACCCTCAGGCCAAGCCATGGTGTGTTAAATAAACACTGCAGTCTTAAGGTCTACTGGAATGGCATAATATGTTCAAGGTCTGCATGGCATAATTCAGTATGGTAGCACTAATGTGCTCTAGGGGTACAACAATCAGCTGAACATGTGCAGAAATTGTCAAGATGATGGCTGGCCACCACTTACACAGCTTGGTAAGAAGAAAAAAATCACAATGAAAGCAAACATTGAAGACAATTCTGCAAGGATTCTGAAGGAATTGGAGAGGTCAGACGGTTACAACCTAAAATATATTGACTGCCTAGATGTAATGCGTTTAATGGAAAATTCTACTAAATATGGTTTTTCACTTTAATACACAAATATGTGCTCAAGCTATTTCTAATGATGCAAATTATAAAACTGATAGACCCAAGTCTCATTTTCTCTAGCACAGGACACCTTTGACCGGCAAGCCCACATCCCAGTGGCAGAGGGTATTCTCCCGCCACCCGCGACGGGTGCTCCCCTGAGGTGGGCGGGGCCCAGAGGGAGCCCACTGCACCCAGCCTGACCAGGCATGAAATTGCTGCCTTGGAAGCATTCTTGCTCGGTGTCAACCAGCCAAGGAGAGGGGTGGCAACGCCGCTGCCAACTCTCCTCTGCTGGCCGCCGACCGACTGCTCATCGGGGTCAAGGGCTGGGCGAGCAGAGGATGAAGCGCCTTAGCCAGCCTTCGCCACTGATGGACAGGCGCTCACATGCCAGGCAGGGGAGGGGCGCAGAGGGTGCGCTTCACCCTCTGCACTCACTCAGCCATGTGACAGGGATCTCTGCAGGGGGTGCCTGGTTCACACACCCCATTGTGTGCCCAGGGCAATGGCCCCCCTGACACTCCCCCATTACGCTAGTGCCACCTCCTAAAAATTCTATCTTTGGAGAAGCTGCCCTTCTTTTATGTAAACTTTTAGAGAACACTAGAGCTGCAAGAGAACATTCATCAATTGTGCAAATGAATGGGAAGTTCAGACAAGAGTCTAGACAACAAACTTCTAGTCATCAGTTCTGCTCAAGACACAGAGTGTTAGAGATAGAAAGTGAAAACTCACCTCCATTTTTCCCCACGGTTCTGAAGCATCGCCAGAAGGTTCTTAGAAAGGATGCTCTATTATGGGGTGTAGCTTGAACAAAGTTGAATTCTCGGAACAAAATATGAGTTCCTTGGCGTACGCTGTTAAAGCTACAGAGGGAAAATTAAAAAACACGATTGTCAGTCATACCAACAGGAAGCTAACGCTAGCAAAAAAAAGTCAGGTGCCCAACTTAAAGAGCATATACAAAACCAACAGGTTTTTGAAAGAAAAAAAGTCGCAAAACAGCTGACATCCAACTGCTCACTAGAAGGAGGCTTACATTAGTATGGCAGATTTCAGACCTCCAATAAGCTGGAGAGCCCTAAACTCAGGGCACGTCCAGGCTGTCACAATGTTCAGGTGTGAACTAATAACATGCTGGCAGATTATAATTCTGCATTCAAAGCTGATTTGGTGTCCTTTCACAACAAACTTCTCCCCCTCAAAATCGGACCCTTTGCAATAAGGAAAGTGATGGGGAAAGCACTGGAAAGTGTGGGATAACAATTGCTCCATGCCACATTGTGTACCCAGAATGAATGTTCAAAAAACAGCCCATTTCATCTAGCCTCCCAACAAACTTGGTGCAAAGTAATAAGGAAAAATGCTCAATAATAAGATAATCTGAAAACAACCTCAGATATTTTTTCCGAAAGATTCATTCGCTAGGTATCTCTAGGAAGAACAAAAGCATCCAATAAATATTTACTTTTGCCAACAGAAACTTGACCAATACCAATGACTTGCAAGAGCATGTTTACCTCTTTTTAGACAAGACTTTTGGATCATTCCTGTGTAATACAAGTTGTGACTTCCAACCCACGTTATTGCTATAAGGACTGGGGTTGGGCTAGATGTTCTTTTGGGATCCCTTCCAGTCTTTGGTTCTATAATTGTAAATCTGAGATTTGCAGAAAAAACCATTTCCAATGTTAGTTAGAGAAGATCCACTGAAATCCATGGGTCTATTCTGGGTATGTCTTAGCAAGGTATCATCCCTTGTCAAGTTTATATGAGATAATAAATGAGAAGTGCTTTGAGTACTGAAAAAAAACACACAGTATGAATGCTATATTCAGTATCCTAAAGGCAAAAATTAAGGCAGTGCATTTACGTTAAGAGTGAAGGTACCCCACCTGCCCCCCAAAAAACCCCTGGAACAAACAAACCCAACTTATGTCAGTTTCAGATTTTATAGTTTGAAGCAGGGTGGTGGTGATATAACTGGCCTTTCCACAAACAACATACAGGCTGTTTAGCCATGTTCCTGAAATAAATTATATCACTACATAAGCAAAAGATCAGCCCCTAAGAAAATATATGGCCTGCCCTGAACATGCTAGACATGAGTACGGCACCAGCAGAATTATCTATCACTGGTTTAATTCATTTTGAGCTGTACTTACAGCATCATGTTCCAAGAAGTAACATACACTTAAAAAAACACAACTTTTTGTGTAACTTTTGTCATGGAATCCCTGCATAACTGTAGCAAGACTAAAAAGAGAGGGCTAATGCTTTTCATTAGCAGCTCTGTGTAAGACTTCAATGGATGGGTGGGGAGAAAATGGATGGGTTTCTGGAATTCCTCTTGACCAAATTGACGCTATTCTCTGTAACCAAAGACATTTTCATAATGTCAGACCTGCAAGAGGAAAAAGTTAAGCTTTAATGTCAAGCAACCATTGGTCTGGAATGCGTATAAAAATACTTTCTTAGCTGACACATTCAGCGTGGTGCTTCTTGGCAGACAGGCCACTACAGAAGTCTTGAGTACAGTGGTACCTCTGGTTACAAACTTAATTCGTTCCGGAGGTCCGTTCTTAACTTGAAACCGTTCTTAAACCGAGGTACCACTTTAGCAAATGGGGCCTCCCACTGCTGTCGCGCCGCCGCACGATTTCTGTTCTCATCCTGAGGTAAAGTTCTTAACCCAAGGTACTACTTCCGGGTTAGCGGAGTCTGTAACCCAAAGTGTTTGTAACCTGAGGTGTTTGTAACCCGAGGTACCACTGTATTTCACCTATTCTTCTCTTGACTCCGAGCTGAGAGAAAAATCTACGTATTAAATTTAACCCTCTTCTCTAGTTTAAAATGTAACCAAATGCTTTTGATTGATTGATTAGCATGCGGTTAGTGAGATCACAAGCTCATTTATACAAAGGGGTGTGGGTTTTGCTTTGAGAGCATAGTAACGTGGATGCTACCTGTAGCATCAATTCCAGTACAGCACTGTTGTGAAACAGGAAAACTTGCTTCCTCTCTGACAGAGAACAAAGGACTGTCTAAATGAGAACAAATAAATATGCTTCTTTGGAACTCATGTCAATTATCATGCTGTGAATTACATTCTACACCTCTAGCAAGGTTTTAGCTAAGTTAGCAAGGGTTTGTAGTATTACTGCATTTTCTTATATGCCTGATGGTATGTTCTGTTCTTTCCCCCTCATAAATATTCTTCCCTCCCTTAAAATATTATCTGTTTTGCTCTGAGTTAATCAGAAGCTTGGGTTAAGGTGGTGGTGAGCAGCCCTGAGCATGGTGTCAGTGTGAAAGACTATGTGTTGCGAAAGATAGTGAACGGGTTTGTAAGAAGCATGAACTAAACAAAAGTGTCCCTTGAAGTAGATCTGGCTGAGAGCAGGACTTGGGGTCCTTGAATTTGTGACTGACGTCAGCTCAAAATTTCCAAAATAAAGGATACTTTGAAGTAAGGTTATCTGTGTATAGCACTGTAATGTCCAAAATGAGGCACATCTGTTATGTTCTGCAAAGCTGTGATGTTTGTGAGTTAGGAGAACTCTTTGAAATAAGGGCCATGTGGTAACCTGACAGTTTTACTTCCAAGGTCTCTTGCTCTATTACAAAACTTCAATATATAGGAGTTGTGAACACTGCAGGGCAATGTCATTTAATAAGCTTTTTTGGTATCTTCTTTGTTTCTTTTCAGAAGGTTCTAAGAAGTCAGCAATATCAAGTTTCATGTATGTCTGAAAGTGCCCTTCTAAGATGCTATTAAAGTTCAATGTGCAAATTAAATAGAAACATTGATACAAATAAAATGAAAAACAGAGGAACAATAAAAGGTCCCTTCACTAAAAGTGGATTCATCTGTGCGTGTCCCTGTTCTTCTTTTAAGCTTGGCAAATGTTTCAAATCCTCCAGAGAGATCATGAAAGCATTCCCCCTAGGACAGCAGCTTAGTGACTCTCCTGAGAGAGAATTAGTGGAAAGATTCATATTCTTGGCGGGGGCAGATCGTCTCCATAGGTAGCTGCTTCACAGTAACCAAAATCTATTGGCTAACTGGATATTGTTTTAGTCCTTTAGCATTTCATAGTACAGTACCCATTTAAAATGCCTAAATGCTTAGTTACAAGCCCGGCTCTCTCCAGGTAACTTCCAATAAGCTTATCAAGCATTCTCTGAAACGTTACTTAATTTCCAAAAAAAGATTACAAAAAAAGTCTAAGCTAAACATTTTTCTTTGGATATAATGAACAGACTTAGCTACCAATGCATACAGACACTAGGTTAGCACTATTTTTAATGCATTAAAAATGCTGCCCAGTGGTCCAATAATGCACTAAAGCAACAGCAAGTTTTCTTCAAGATACAACTAGATTTTGATTCCCCCACCCTTTCAACAACTTGTTATTTTTAGGCAACTGCTGCTGGACGATTATGAATTCTTTTATAATTATCAGGTACTGTTGGTGCTCCACAAATCAGAGGAAGACATGAGTTGTTACATGGTGGAAGATGACAAGATAAAGAGACAACCAAAATCATACTACAATGCCCCAAAGGCCTGATTCAAAGCCCAGTAAAGTCAACAAAAAGCTCAAAATTATTTTGCTAACTTTGGATCAGGTTCCAGAAGCATGAAAATTGTTTAATCACAGAGTGCTATAGCTCTGTATTTAAAAATATATAGCTATAATGTTACTTTGACATCAGATGATCTCAAGATTACTATTTTAATTTATTATAATCTAGGTGTTATAATCTAAGTGTTGCAGAGCTCCAAAGCATCTGTTAAAGGAGCTGTCATAACACATATTATTAAAATAAAATAAAAATGACTGTTCATCCACCACCCTGCCTTTAACTGTGCATGTAGTGCATAGACAATGACCCAGTTTGCATTTCATGGTGGACCATAGTTAATGGTTAACAGAGAATGCAGAGATTCACTCTTCCCCTAGTACAAGGAGGAGCCACAAAACATGATTCCAGGGCTCAGAAGTACATCTGAAACAAAGATTTGGTTTGTTTTGCTAAAACTAAGCATGGTCAGTAAGCAAAGAACAAACCTTGACTTACATCATTGCTGCTGTATACAATTATTCCCAAATCAAGACAAACTGTGGTTAATCTCAAATATGTTTTTGGAGGAAATTAAACAATAATTCATGAAGTTTGCTTGTTTACCTAAACCATAATTAAGATTATCCACCATTTCAGATTCAGATGTAACAGTTCAGTGAGGTTAACTGAAAATGGAAGTGAATGTGTTCCGATTTTCGGACAGCTGTATTGGAGGGAGGAGAAGGGAGGGAAGAATTCATGCACATGAATCTTTGGCTTATGATGATAAAGCATAGTTTGGCATTGTGGCCATGCCAAGCCAATGTGTGGTGTGAAAGGCCAAAGACTGGTACTCCTCATTCAGTTTATTTTTATTTTGGACACCAAAACCCCAAAAAGAATGTTTAGAGGTCATCTTGCCTTTGTGGCAAGCAGCTAAATACCATGTTCTGGACGGATCAGGGGGGAAACTGTTTTCCTAGCCCAACTGCCTATACTACTGGTTGTTGTTTACTGTGCAGTATTAGGATGTCTCGGGAGTACAAAATGGATGGAACATGGCTGAAAGAGAATTACAGGGGAGAAGGCACAAGAGCCAAGTCTTGGTTTTCCATGGGCTAGTTAAAGGCCTGAAGTATTCTAGTACACCATTTTAGAACTAGTGGCCGATAAGTGAGGACTTGGTGAAGAGGTTGTAGTCTAAAGATGATTCCAGCATGTTTTGTGAACCACCCTCCAAAGTAGGAAGCTGGCCATGCCATGTCTTCCTTTTGTTTAGTCACCACTTTCAAATTATCCTCAGATTTATCAGATGAGTTTCTTGGGAGGAAAGATCATGCCAGCAGAACTCCCAGATCCTGCTAGGTGAACTTCAGCCCATTTTTTTCACATGGAAAGCATAAAATCCCCACAGAAAAAGCATGCTATGTATGAATAAAAAGATCAACACGCAAGTTATACGTTATTTTCAACACAGAAACATAGAAATTCCCTATAAGATCTGCTGGAATACTCGGGAGAGAAATTCATCACATTGGACTGGAAAAGGACCATTCTGGACATTTAATAATAATAATAATAATAATTCAAGAGCTACTTTTGGACTTTTTGAGTGGAAGAAGGTGAATCGGAGATGCCTGGGATAAAAGATTGAGAAAGCAACACCTAGCAGATTGAGAAGCAGCTATATAACATAGCTAGACGTTCCCTGCAGTGCATGCTTTGAATATTTTGAATAATAATTATTATTATAATTGGCAGACAGAGAATTGGAAGCTCCTCCTTCTTTTCTTTTCTTTTCTTTTCTTTTCTTCTCTTTCTTTAATTTAGATTTTTCATATCTTATTTCTTTATGATTTCTAACTCAGGTTTTACTGCTGTTGATTTTTGAAGTCCCCTATTTTGGATTAATGAAGATACACACAGGAAGGTGATAATAGATGGAAGATGAAGGGCTCTGCAGGGTGCGAGGCTGGGAGAAGAAGGAGAAACTCCCAGGTGAGAGCTGGGAGGGTTCACTTTTCTGTGTGTGGAAAAAGGGGTGTGCTATAATTGTGCTTATTTATTCTGCATTTCTTGTCCCTTCACTTCTCTATTTTTTTCTTTTCTTATTCTTGTTTTTTTTTATCCTCTTTCTTTATACAGTGGTACCTCGGTTTAAAAACTTAATCCGTTCCGGAAGTCCATTCTTAAACAAAAACCCTTCTTAAACTGAGGCGTGCGTTCCCTAATGAGGCCTCCCACCGCTGGTGCCCTTCCACCTTTTGGATTCCATTCGTAGACAAAGGTAAAGTTTGCAAACCGGGACACTACTTCCGGTTTTGCGGAGTTTGAAAACCAAACAGTTCATAAAAAGGGCTGTTCTTAAACCGAGGAACCACTGTATTAGCTTGGCTTTTGTCATATTTTATGTTGAAAACTTTTAATAAAAAAAATTCCCCATCAGAATTGTTTTACGTTTGAAGCAATGCTGAAACCTATAAACTGGTTGTGTATTTCAGTTCAAAACTCAATATTAGTATTGGGTGGGGGAGGTTAGGGAAGAATTGCCTTTAAATAGAACAAATTTCTTCCTTTAGTCTATAGGTATTGTGCCTACAGGTGTGACCCTTAAAAAGAATGACAGGCACTGCTTAGTTGTCAGATCTTCCTTGCCCCATGCTGCTTGGTCCTCCTCAAAACCACTCAGGGGAGACAGGAAAATTAGCACACTAAGCTGAAGGTTACCATGGACACAGTTCCTGACTTGTCTACTTGCAGCGGCAATTAAAACTAAAGCCCTCATTAGTACTCTAATAGACTTCGAGCACATGCATTTCACTCAGAGGTTTTGCTGGGTTGATGGGCAATCCCTTCAGTAGCAATAGTTGCCTTTCACATCACAGAAATGTCCATTTGAAACAAAAAAAACGCCTGTACTTAGAGACCTTGCCTTTACATGCCCCACCGAAGCCAAAGCAGACAGGAATCTTCCTAGGATGCCAGGACTGGGAAAGACGTGCCTTGCAGCATACTTGCTCTATGCTTGTGGGATGGGCATGTATGTACACATGAATAAGACAGAGCAGAGGACAAGGAAGTAGCAAAGCCCCAAAGCTCTCTGAGAAGGATGTGTTGGGAATGCTGGTACTCAGGTGCTGCTTCTATGAACACAGAGCGAGAGCTCAATAGAGCACTGTCTTCTGGGTAATTACATTGAGGCAGCCTGCCAGGGTTTTGAAACTTTCATTTGAGCAAGGCACGGGGGGAGGGGTGCAGACTTTGGACTTTTTGATAGGCTGTAAAAGTTCTGGGATGCTATGGAAACATCCGAATAGAGAGGCCAACCAACACCACTACTTGCCCCATGTCAGCTGGAAATCTAAGCAGAGCAGAAACATGCATGGCAGAAAGAAGCTGGTTTTTCCTGGAAAGGACAGGTATTCAGAATGAACCCCTCGAGGCCTTCCCCCAGCAGGTGGCACCTCTGGCTGCCACAGCAAAGCACCAAATTGATTATGGGATGCCTCCCCCTTACCAAAGGAGCAACAGGGAATGGCAAATGGCTCCCTGATTTGCAGGACATTTCATTATGCTGAAGGTTACTTAATCATATATTACTTATTGGCTGGCACAGAAATAGCCTCCACATTCTATCACACACAGCGAGTGCTTTCATCCTGCCTGCCACATCAGCTGTCCAAATGGTGTAGCTGCAGTGGATGGGTGTGCTTGGGGAGGGATTTCTTCAATAGCAACTGTTGCCTTTCACATCACAGAAGCAGGGGACTGAGGTGGGAAGAGGAAACGGGGAGAGGAGACTAACTTCAGAAATTGCAAAAGGCCTTAACAGCACTGCAGGCATCAGCAAAAATGTCTGTCCTTTGAGGCCTTGCCTTCACTAGCTCCACAAAAGTCAAACCAGAATTTGCACACTTCTCTCCATAGGAATAAAGCTAGCATCCCTAACGCGGCAGCCACAGACACCATAGCAAACCCAGACACTCCCCTGGCTGTCCACCAAGGCTTCCTTAAATTCCATTTTTTGGGAGTGTGTGGGTTTCATGACTGTTTTTGCTTTGGTTTGAGGGGTTTCCTGTCTGCTTGGTTTGTTTGCATTTTATTTCTTCTGGGGTGTTCGCGTGCTGCTTTCACTTGTTGTTTGAAGGGGGTATCCTGAGCATCACCCATTTTTTCCTGTGAAATGAGTATCTTGTGGTGTCCATTAACAAGTTCTCAGTCATGCAGTGCTCTCAGACACCTCCTAACCATATGTATATCACTGGGCCTTACTCAAAGCTTCGCATAGCAACAGGAATTGATAATGTAAAAATAAATAAATTACTTCTCTACATATGCCGTTTTCCATTGACTTAGGAGCAGGTTGTACTTTTCGACCATCAGTTAAGGATCAAGAGGAAAACAAGGGTGCTGCTTCATCCTCTACTCAGCCCCTATACTGTTATACCAGGTCTTCCCCACATGTCTAAACGATCAGCCTCAAGCCCAAGGAAACAGCTCACAGGATCAGTAACTTTTGGGTGGCCTTAGTAACCCATCAAAATACGTAGTCGCCACCAACTCTCCTCTCCCACATCTCGGGGAAGGAGTGGGGTCTACTCTCCCAATATTGCACTGGGCTTTGGAGGGCCCACCCATGAGGCAGAGTGCGGCGGCCAACTCAAGCGGCACCCCCCAAAGGAAAACAGCACCCCCATTCCATCCCCCAGCTTGGCCACCACTCGCCTCTCCTTGTAGGTGCAGAGAGGGACCAGAAGCAAAGCTCTGCAGAACACCTCCCCTCCTGCAGAGTTGCTGAGAAGGGAGGTATTCCGTCACCCTGCTTTGCTGCCAGTACAAAGCCCAGCTGCCAGGCAGTAAGGGGGCACCTCTCCCCCATCGCTGCGTGATGTGGTGTGGCAAAGCCCTGCCACCAGGCAAGAAGGGGGCATCTGGAAAGGATAGCCCACCCGCCCGCCCCTGCCCAGCAGGAGAGACTCCACAAGCCCTTATGGAGTTTGCCCCCCGCCCAATGGCGGAGCCGGCAGTGGGGCATTTGGCCTCAGGTGCTGAAACACCTTAGGCTGCCCCTGTTTGGAGGTACTCAGAAGGAGTGGCTGTGGAGTGTCCTCAAAGATCAGAATGACTGCTGAGAGGAGTCTTCCCACCCGTTCCCCAAGCCTGGGAAAAGGGCTGCTCCTGCAGTCACGCTGAGCTTTGGGGACACTCCAAAGTCATTGATTCTGAGCACCTCTGAAGCACAGCATGGGATCGGAGACAACCCCCTGCCCATCTCTCACTTTACACTCCCCACAAATGCATTTGCTAAGTTAACAAAATACATCCTTGTCACTGGTGGACGCCAGTCATGTTTATGGATTCCTGCAACAAGGCTACAGTACTTGACTTTGCTCTTCCCTTTTGGTGATAACAGTCACACTACACATTTGAAACTCTTCTCCTTGTATGTTTATAAGCCTATTGGCAAGAAAACATGCAAAGGCACTCATGTTGGCATCCAACACACACCAGTTTGAGATATACTATTTTTTCACAAAGTTATAGCTTCTGGATGGACAGGACCTTTTTCAGAATTAAATGATACAGACAACAGTGTTGCCCATTACAACCCTCTCTTAGTTCCTTTTTTCTTGCTGTCCCTATTTCAGGTCAGGAGGTACAACAGCGAAGTAGGTCAGTTATTTAATACCCTAATCTCTCAAATCAGAGCTTGCACGATTTTGCTGTGTTGAATTATTGGGCCACTATGTTTAAAAACAAAAGAGGGAAAGAAAGAAAGAAAGAAAGGGAGAGAGAGAAAGAAAGAAAGAAAGAAAGAAAGAAAGAGGGAGAGACTTTTAAAAACAACAGAGGCCTTTTGATCAGAGTAGCGTAGTACAGCTTGCTGTAACTCAAGCTGGCCATTCTTATGTAGCAGGAATTAAGGACTCCCCCTGCCAGGCAGAGCCCTATTAAAAGACAATGGCTGTTTGAAAAGGATAAGCAAGCTGATATGGATATAATAGGCCACATATAGCGCGTCCTTTCTACTCTGAAATAAAGCATTTTAGAGTTATGAGTTGGGAAATCCAGTATGCTGGGAGATAGACCTATCCTATAAAAGGCTAAGTCGCCATGGAGAAATGCTTGGAGGTAGCTCGGGGGAGAAGGAAACAGTTCACAGCAACACATCAACAGTTAAGAATTAATGCTTTCAAGTGCTATGTGCTGCTTGATATAGTCCACATCACCGCAATGCTGTGTAACTGACAGAGACATCCAGCCTTCCACATTCTTATCAGAGCCGAAAACCTACTGTGAGGAACAGTGGAAGATTACTTGATCATCTAATGATCATTGATAGTTCTGGGAAAGCAGAGCCAAAATTAAATTACATTACATTCCCAAGAGTATCAGCTTCCTCTGTTTTTTGTTTTTTTTTAAGTGCCACTACAGCCCAAGTCACAGAGACATTTAACCCTCCCCTCTATGCTTCACTGGCTATAGGACAGAGTGAAAATACCCTATTATATGTTCCATAGGAAGGTTGAAGTATCCACAGCTTCATGCCTCTGTTTCCCTCATCTATAAAACGAAGTCAAAACCATACCTTGTAGCCTTGGATGGAATATATTCCTTGTTTGCAGAATATATTCCTTGCCTGAAGTTCCCTCAAGGGCCAGGATAGTAACTTTCATGGGGGAAAAGACGATTAACAAGGACATTGTAAAACATCTCTTGTTTCTTTCAAGCAAGTGACCCCGAGAAAAAGTAGTCATACTGTTCTACAGGTGCAAAACCAGCCATATGATAGGCTGCAATCAGTTATGATCCACCACCGCCATTTTGTAATGCAACACAGCTGGACTGATCTCCCCAAGGGCAGATTTTGCTGTAACATTTTTCTTTCACTGGCAAATACACATTTAAAAAACGTTTATGCTGAAATGCAAAATCCATATGGGAGAAAGATCTACGAGCAAGAGCAAACAAGAGTTCTCATGTTTACGGACTCTATCTGCAAAACCCATGTGGATTCTGCATTCCGATGTGACGGTTTTCACATTTATTTTTCCACAAAGAAAAAAACAATGTTGGAATCATCCTTCAGTTTCCTACAGGGTATGTTTTGCAATGGAAGGGTAGCCAGTATTTGATGGAAATTCCCATCTTCAGCGGAAGACATTCCAGGAAATTTCTTTAATAAAAACAAAACAAGAAACAACAAGCTGAATCGGTGTTCTATTCTGACCTTTATTCTATATGTGCCCCTTAAAAAAAAAAAAAGCTAAACACTAGCTAGAAAGCAGGTAAAGCAAGGCATTTAGGAATAATCAGAGCTCAAAGAAAAGAAATATATAGAACTGAATACTTCATATTTGAGCTCTTAATGTTTTCTGAATATTCTTCTGGTTTCTGGGGCAGAACTTCCAAATGAATCTGAACAGGGAGAGATAACCAAGAACAGGAAAGATTTCCTTTGGCTGCAAACAGTGAGAGTCTATATAGACCAGGGCTTCCCAACTTTTTTTGACCAGGAAATCAAAGGAAATGCCATGGGCATCCAAAAACAACAATTTCACAGGGGAAAACCCCAATAAGGCTCAGAATTCCCACCCACCAAAAAAGACAGGCCAAACAAATGAAACTCAGACCAAAAAAATAATTAGGCAGGCTTCCCCCCTCCAAAAAACAACCCCTCATTCAAAAAACATTGAGGGGCCAGGAAGCTTTGGAAAACACCAAAGTTGGTGTCTAGGTCACCATACAATACATGGAGCTATTCACACATTAAATAACAATAAACCCATCATGTACCATCATGTATACCTTAGCATGGTTCTTCAGGCAACCCCAGCTCTCTGAAAAGCATACATCAGAAAAATCTGCTTCTCCCCCACCCATCCCATGCAAGGGCATCGTCTGAGCAGACTCTGGAACCAATACAAATGCTTTTACAATTTATTTCTTTTTTATACAAACTGTTTCTCCCAATATGCACATGACCTGATGTGTGAAGAGGCCTTCCTTGTTACATTAGTGTGTTGGCTGCAGTGTGTAGGTATATCGCGTGAATGGTCCCCACGCTTCTTTCCAGGGCTGGAAAGTGGTTAGTTTAACTTCCAGTTTGCTAGTAAAACTGAAGTACTGTGTTGCGAAATAATGCATGTCTAAAAAGTGTGTCGCCAACATGAAAAGTTTGGAAAGCTCTGGCCTAAACTGTGAAACTCTCTGATCCATCAGGCCCTCTTTGATGGGTTTCCAATACCACTACATGACTGTACTGGCCTGTCAGACATTTGAAATCACTATGCCTACTCTCTCACACACCTTGACATTGTTTTGAATGGGCTGTCCTTCATTCAGTTAATGGCTGTTTTTTAAACTTGTTGGTTTTTTCATTGTTGCTATTAGTTACCTTGGGTGTTTCAATCTGAAAGGCACTACAGTGGTACCTTGGGTTAAGAACTTAATTCGTTCCGGAGGTCCGTTCTTAACCTGAAATTGTTCTTAACCTGAGGTACCACTTTAGCTAATGGGGCCTCCTGCTGCTGCCACACGATTTCTGTTCTCATCCTGAAGCAAAGTTCTTAACCCGAGGTACTATTTCTGGGTTTAGCAGAGTCTGTAACCTGAAGTGTCTGTCACCTGAAGCATCTGTAACCCGTACAGTGGTACCTCAGGTTACAGACGCTTCAGGATACAGACTCTGCTAACCCAGAAATTGTACCTTGGGTTAAGAACTTTGCTTCAGGGTGAGAACAGAAATCGCACGGCAGCAGCGCAGTGCGGCGGCAGTAGGAGGCCCCATTAGCTAAAGTGGTACCTCAGGTTAAGAACAATTTCAGGTTAAGAACGGACCTCCAGAACGAATTAAGTTCTTAACCCGAGGTACCACTGTATATAAAAGCCTGGTTTGCCCATAACAGGAAGCTATAGTCAGAAAGAAACTATGGCTTACTGTGAATGAGTAGAATGCTGGTGCCCACTGCTTAATTACACCTACTCCGCCCTGCTGCCTTCTGGGAGAAACAAATGAGGCTTAGATTAGTGTTACGTGCAAACCAATCCTCGTGGTTTGCTTCTCTCCAAATAAACTTTTTTACCAGCAGCTATTTGGCATTTTATTTAATTTGGGGTTAAGTGACTTAACCTTCCAAACAAATTGTTCAAGGCTTTTGAATTCCAAAAGATTAAATTTGACTGTCCACTAAGTAAGCCATGATCTTCTATATACGATCTTTCATGCAACAGAAAAGGTCAGTCGCTATTGCTGAAGGGTTTTCTTTAAAACATTCCATTTGAAGTTGTCCTAGAGTTTTGCACAGCGGCAGGGGAGTCCCACTATTCAATGCAATTCTGATTGACATGTTGTTGTTTAGTCGTTTAGTCATGTCCGACTCTTCGTGACCCCATGGACCAGAGCATGCCAGGCACTCCTGTCTTCCACTGCCTCCCGCAGTTTGGTCAAACTCATGTTAGTGGCTTCAAGAACACTGACCAACCATCTCATCCTCTGTTGTCCCCTTCTCCTTGTGCCCTCCATCTTTCTCAACATCAAGGTCTTTTCCAGGGAGTCTTCTCTTCTCATGAGGTGGCCAAAGTATTGGAGCCTCAGCTTCAGGATCTGTCCTTCCAGTGAGCACTCAGGGCTGATTTCCTTCAGAATGGATAGGTTTGATCTTCTTGTAGTCCATGGGACTCTCAAGAGTCTCCTCCAGCACCATAATTCAAAAGCATCAATTCTTCGGCGATCAGCCTTCTTTATGGTCCAGCTCTCACTCCCATACATCACTACTGGGAAAACCATAGCTTTAACTTATACAGATCTTTGTCGGCAAGGTGATGTCTCTGCTTTTTAAGATGCTGTCTAGGTTTGTCATTGCTTTTCTCCCAAGAAGCAGGCGTCTTTTAATTTTGTGACTGCTGTCACCATCTGCAGTGATCATGGAACCCAAGAAAGTAAAATCTCTCACTGCCTCCATTTCTTCCCCTTCTATTTGCCAGGAGGTGATGGGACCAGTGGCCATGATCTTAGTTTTTTTGATGTTAAGCTTCAGACCATATTTTGCACTCTCCTCTTTCACCTTCATTAAAAGGTTCTTTAATTCCTCCTCACTTTCTGCCATCAAGGTTGTGTCATCTGCACTTCTGAGGTTGTTGATATTTCTTCCGGCAATCCTAATTCCAGTTTGGAATTCATCCAGTCCAGCCTTTCACATGATGAATTCTGCATATAAGTTAAATAAGCAGGGAGACAATATACAGCCCTGTCGTACTCCTTTCCCAATTTTGAACCAATCAGTTGTTCCATATCCAGTTCTAACTGTAGCTTCTTGACCCACATAAAGATTTCTCAGGAGACAGATGAGGTGATCAGGCACTCCCATTTCTTTAAGAACTTGCCATAGTTTACTGTGGTCGACACAGACAAATGCTTTTGATCGACATACACAAGCACTAAATTTCTTGCAGCTCTCCTTCTGGCGAAAGATGGGGTGTGGAAGGGGAAATGATGTTTGTGTTACTTTTAATTATTATATTGAACTAGTTGTCAAGCTAGCTGAAGAAGGGGATTTGGTACCAAAATGATTGTATCTGATAAATAAAACAGAGGTACGGGGGTGGGAAATCATTTATTATCTGCATCCAACTATAGCAAGGAAAGAAAAGGCAATTGGCTGGCTACTAGTAAAATTAAATACCAGTGTAGAGGAAAAGGGCAAATTAATTCATCATGTGTCGAGTCTCCATTGTCTACTAACTGTGGAACAGAATTAATGGCAGCAAGACAATCTAACAGTGCTTGGGACCAAAGAACAGCAGAGCCCCATGTGCACAACCCCCCACCCCCAAATATATTATTGCTTGCATTTTGAATATCCCCAGCCATAACTCTGCAACGACGTATGAATAATACAAAATTTAAATACATATATGCACTTGCATTGCATTGCAAATATAATATTTTTCTTTTGGCTCAAACTCTTAACAGCTCACACATCCTAGATGCCATTAAAAGAATTGCAAACATTTATGCATAAAACATCATGTTTTGGGGAAGTTCGACGAAGAGCTCCTGCTGAGATGGAAATCAGTCTTGCCCTTCATCTCTAAAATGAGAACAGTGACTTCTCTCACAGGGCTGTTGCAAGGATGAACAAAATAAGGACTTTAAAAGCCTCTTGCATATTAAAGAAGCAACATTCAGAAAAATAACAATCCCCAAACTGATGGAATTTTGCTTCCGCTATGATTGTGATTTACCATCATGATTAACCTACATATGCTGGTTAACTTTTCTTGCTTTGAATCACTTTACTTGTTTCAAGAGATATACTTTGGGAAGGAGGGAGGGTCAGTCCTAAGGAATGCTAGGCTGGCAAGGCTCTTGGACAAATATAAGATAATATTAAATCCACTTCTGCCATTCTAGTATACCATAGTGGTATAAGTGTGAAAGATCCCAGTTCAAATCCACCTTAGGCCCCAACTCAGCAGGGGACCTTAGGCAAACTATTATTTTCTTAGCTTCAGTGTTCCCATCTGCAAAATGGGAATAACACTGGCCTACCTTATGAAAGCACTGAACTTCACTGAAATGTTAGATGTGAAATGCTTTGAACCATTAAATATGTTGTATAAATGCTGTTTTATTCTTAAAATAAAGGCAGAAAGAGAGAGATATCACTGTCTAGGTCATCTGAAGCATTAAGAGCACTTTAAGTGAAAAGTCTCTGCCTCTTTAGGGATTTTCAGTATCTGTGAATTTAGATAGAAACATTTTTAAGGAATGATGTAAAATCCCAGTGAGACACCTGCTTCATTTTCAGACAAATTTAGCTACAAAACATTTTTACACAGTTCGATGTTTAGGTCTTTGGTGGGAGAGGTTATCAAGAGGCGCTCCAGAGATGCTGCAGATTTGCTGGTGTATATTCACATAAGTGTTGTTGTTTTTCTTGTTTTGAGGGAATATGCTCAGGTCTCTAAACTTAATAACGATAGGATTAAATCCACACTATCAACACAGCTAAAACCTCTGGGTCACTCCGTTGCACATTCCAAGAAGGAATGTCAAATTCTCCCCCCCCCCCCAAAAAAAAACCCCTATTCCAGTATCTAAGCAGCATTTTGGATGTGGGAAGAGAGGTATTCAAGGACAAATGACTTTATTCCAATGTAAACAAGCTCTGGATTCTAGGAAGGTTGGGAAATAAATCCCAAGCACTCCCTCTACAAGGCAGCCACTCAAGCTGGAATCTGAGCACTACTGATCAGACTGGTTTAAAATATTGTGGTCCTCTCCATTAAGCTAAAATATCCAGAGTCATTATTCACTCAACAGTGATTTTATATAGCTCTCCACAGAGTTCACCAACACTTCCACACCCAAGTAGTTAACAATAACATCAGGCAAGAGGCATCCTAAAACTGAGAATAAAAATAGCTTCATGTCAGACTTCCTACGGTTCATGTTATTCCTCACAGAGGAGTGGTGATCTGAATATTTCATTCGCCATCTTCAGGTATCCTTGTTAGGTGTTAAGCAAGGCAGCGGATGGGGGTTGTGAGGATAAGATGGGGGTTGCGAGGATGAGTGGGAGCTGGGCATGTTTAGCCTGGAGAAGAGGAGGTTAAGGGGTCATATGATAGCCATGTTCAAATATATAAAAGGATGTCACATAGAGGAGGGAGAAAGGTTGTTTTCTGCTGCTCCAGAGAAGCGGACACGGAGCAATGGATCCAAACTACAAGAAGATTCCACCTAAACATTAGGAAGAACTTCCTGACAGTAAGAGCTGTTCGACAGTGGAATTTGCTGCCAAGGAGTGTGGTGGAGTCTCCTTCTTTGGAGGTCTTTAAGCAGAGGCTTGACAACCATATGTCAGGAGTGCTCTGATGGTGTTTCCTGCTTGGCAGGGGGTTGGACTCGATGGCCCTTGTGGTCTCTTCCAACTCTATGATTCTATGATTCTATTCTATGATTCTATGATTCTAACTCTGCCCCACCACTGCTCACCTCCATGAGCTGGAGAATGAACTTCTGAAGTGGGGCCACTCTTGTACTCATGCAAACGCTCCATGCATTTCAGAAAAATGATTTCCTATAGTGTCTCGCTGCTGAGATATCATAGCTCAAGAAGTCAGATTATAGGAGGCTGTCCACTTCAGACATCTGCCTTTCAGCTTAAAGAAGATGACAAGAATGGTGGCTGGGGGACTGAAGCTAGTGCACTTACCCTTATGTCCCCCTTGCGTGCTAACACCCAACAGGAACACCTGAAGATTATTGCCAAATTACTTACCCAGAACTCTTCCTTAGGGCATACATTATGCAAGCAAGAAAAACAGCCGTTCCATTCCTTGCAAAATGGAATGGTTGTGCCAATAGATGTCACTTTCTTGCTCTACACAGAGCAGGGCAGATGACAAGCAGAAACTGAACAGCCCCACCATACCATGTAGAAGATATGCAACTATTCATCCTGATGCATTTTACTGTTTATTCTGAAGGCACAGAACACCAGCTTTGGCTCACTGAGCACAAGTAAGTGGCTCCCAAGAGCAGGCTGGTCAGAAGATGTCAACATGCCAGCCTTTTCCCTACATTTAGATTAAATCTTCGTCACATTTTATCAGCAGAAAGGAAAGCCCAATTAGTGGAAGGAAGAGAATATGCTTACAGCTCCACATTTCTGGCTACCAATTACAGGAGAGCACAACTAGCCAATAGAAATGAAGACTCGGTGGATACTATTCCAGCAAACCTCACATATGAAGAAACCCACTCAGATACTATGCTTCAGTATTTTATTCTGAAAGTAATGAACAAATCTACCAGAAGTAAATCTAAAGCTATGCAGCTAGCTGAGAGTCTGCAAATATGGCAGCCTTTGAGCTTCTGCCAACCTGTTACCATCTTCTGACTGTGTGCCCCACCCATCGTATTTTTGCCAAGCAAAAACCTAAAACCAGTATAATTTCATCAATTCACTTAGAGTCTTCAACAAGCTCTATGCATCCAGCTTTATGATGTTACAATAGATCTTTGGCAGCTGTGAACCAGCAAGAGTAGCTGAAATAGCAATGCCATCTGGCTGCTATTGGCTCAGTAGCAGTGACGGCAGGCAAATGCTTGATCAACATTTCTCTCTCCTTTCTTGGTCATACATAAGCGCCTCCTCACTCCACTTCTCATCTACTGTGATTTTGCAGCCCAAAATGCCAGGAAGGGCCTTGCAAATCAGGGTTTGCAATGGCCATGCATTATTCTGAACCCATGAGCAAGCGAAAGAGAGGAAAAGAGGAATGAACTTGCACACAATCCAGTGGCCAGCTGCCTTAACCCTGGTGACTTCAACCATATATCTGAACTAGATCCCAGGATTGGAGCCAGAGTGTAGGTTGCACACAGCACAAGAACTGATTCACCTATAAATAGAAAACTTCTGTTACCAGATTGGGAAGCCTACAGAGTCCAGCTGGCTCTTGCTTCTCTAAATCCAGGTAGTGGCTGCTGCCTGCTAAGCCAGTCAGGCACTTGTCAAATTCTGATGGGTTCTGAGAGGGTTCCCTAATATTAGGGAATTGATGGGACATTGCAGAATCAACTTTTTAGTGCATAGTATACATATTATACTGAAATAGGAGTTTATTACTACAATGTTCTTCCTTCCTTCCTTCCTTCCAAGTGCATGCATTTGGTAGCAGACACAGGAAGAGCTAAGAATATGGTTCTTGTGAGCACAAGCAATTGAATAGTGCCCTGGTGAAATACACTCAAGATGAAAGATACTAAAGAAACACAAGATATCCCTAAACTCTGAGCCAAAACTTCCACATCCTGCTTGATGATGACACTGGGGAACTATGGGAAAGCAGAAGGGAAGGAAATGGGGAAGCAACAGGGGGACATATAGTAGGCAAACTAAGGCCCAATCACCTTCTAAATCCAGCCTGTGGACGGTCTGGGAATCAGTGGGTTTTTACATGAGTAGAATGTGTGCTTTTATTTAAAATGCATCTCTGGGTTATTTGTTAGGCATAGGAATTCATTCATTATTATTTTTCAAAATATAGTCCGGCCCCCCATAAGGTCTGAGGGACAGTGGACTGGCCCCCTATTGAAAATGTTTGCTGACCCCTGTTCTTGAGTGAACAGGAGGATCTGCTGCAAGATCCACCTTTAGTTGCAACCCTATGCACAATATATTGGATGTATGTCCCATTATTACGTCTTTCTTTCTGTATAACACTGAGATATACAGTAGACGCATACCAAGCTTTTCCTTTTCAGCACTCAAGGGAGCAGGGTATCTTAGCTAAAACAGAAGACCTGCCAGGAATCAGCAACAGAAAATCCCAGTGGAAGCTTTGAGCCGAAAGGATCACTTCACAGCCAGGTTGGTGACAGCAGAAGTTTCACACATGCCACCCAGCTTGCTGCAGCCAGCCAGTATTGCTGAGATAACATTGTCATCTCTTCACTGGAGCAGGGCAATGCTAAGGCCTTGGGGAAGAGTAGGGTGGGGAGTGAATAAAATCCTAAAAGAAAGTAAAGAAAGAAAAAAAGAAGGAAGGAAGGAAGGAAGGAAGGAAGGAAGGAAGGAAGGAAGGAAGGAAGGCATGTGCCCTGGGACTACAGAATGCTAATATCAAGGTGAAAACACTCAAGAAGCACACCATATCCTGAAACCCTGAACCAAAACATCCACATCCTGCTAAATAGGCATGATGATGACGAAAAACAGACTCTCAAGCCCTGGGGCTTTTCTCCCATCTTGCTGTCTGGTGGCTCAATCAAAGGCCGGAAGATTCTGCTGTCACTACAATTATTATTTTTACTCCAAAATGACCCCCGGTTCCTGTACCCCAACCAGTGTTTCTACAAAATAATCTAGAGGAAATTAAGAAATCCCACAATCGTCTGACACAAAAATCTCTCAGCTGACAAACATGCGTAAAACTATTGGTGTTCCTTTTGAAGAGGTAGATGCCTCAGGACAGGCAGTGTATTTCATTGTGCTGTCACCAAGGATGTTACATTTCTTAGAAAAATCAAGGAATACAAACGTACAAAAGGAATTATTTTCCTTCAAAAGATGCAGAAACTGGGCTCACAAAAGAAATTATTTCAGTTTGGGCCATACAGCAATAACCGTAAGGATGTAGACCCCAGTTTGGGTCTTTAGTGTTTACAACTGACACCCTTTTTTTACTGAGTTTGCTGTGAAACATTGCTGGTCCCGCATGCCATTGTCTACTGCTGAGCTAGTGGCTGCAGTGCTACTTTTTCACCATCTGCAATGATGGCAGCGGAGACCTCCCTCTTCTGGCTACTGTCACAAAGGTACAGAGAATAAAACACTAGGGTCTAACTCAGTGGTGGCCAAACTTGACCCTCCAGCTGTTTTGGGACTACAATTCCTGTCATCCCTGACCACTGGTCCTGTTAGCTAGGGATGATGGGAGTTGTAGTCCAAAAACAGCTGGAGGGCCAAGTTTGGCCACTGCCCAGTTTAAAAGGAGCACCCTGGTGCCTTAAATGGAACACCGAGGAGTCTGCCATGTGCTCTGACCCTCTCACCCTAGAAAGATTATAGCAGCCTGCCAAAGAAATCATTGCCAACCTCCAGAGCTTAAGATAACCACTGACAAAGTAAAACTTAGAGATAGGGGGAAAAACATTTTTCAAGCTATGCCTCAGCTGCTTCCCACTCCAGGTCTTGCCCCCCTTGGGATAACGATATGTCTAGCTATAACTGTCAAAAAGAAAAACAGAATAGCAGCACCTGTAAATGTCTTCCTCTCCTGCATAAGCTTTTCAGAGACTCTAGGGAGAATTCAGCTTGAGCAGAAAACCCTTCTGGAATTTCATATCCTTCCTTTAAGAGTGTTAGAGAAATGCGACCGCACTTTCAGAAAGTCTTGATCTATCTGAGCACACCGGCAATCATTTACTCATATTCTAGGGCAATGTTACATTCACAGAAACAATCACATGTTTGTTGCACCAGAGTACCACAGCCAAGAGAGGATGTGGAGGCTCAACAGATCAAGAACTGGAGAGTCAGGTAAACGTCTTGATGAGGTGGGAGTGGGACAATACTGCTGATAAATATTTTAAAATGTTTTTAAAAGCAGAATGAGGAACCTTTCATCATTACTTTGCGGTCTTCATACTCTGAAATTTTAAGTACATACAATGTATTTCATGGACGGGGTGGCGGTGGCAATAGCTAAGCGAAAGAGCACGTGCTTGGCATACAAAAATTCTCCTTTCAATCCCCAGCATCTCCAGGTAGGACAGGGGGTGTCCCCCTTCAAAAACTGGGCTAAATGGACTCATGGCGCAACTTAGGAAGGCAGCTTCCTTCATTCCCATGCAATTTATGCTTATTCTAATGCTTGCACTGAAGAGGTGCTCAAATGATTATCTCATCTGGGTCTTCAACAGCCTGTCATGACCCTGGAGTCAGATTCCCCATCTTCAGGGAATGAGGTCAACAACTCTGAATTAAAAGGGGAATTACACACAAGACAAGCCTGTGATGCCAGTGTCACTGTGACCTGAGGATGTCGAATTGACAGCTTCTGATTCAAGAGTACTCCAGTGCAGAATCCCCAGATTCTACCCTGGTGCTGGACCCCTTTAACAGACGAGGCACCTTTCAGTGAAGGTAGATTTTGTAATTGGGATATAGCTGCTGCTCATATATAGGGCTCAGTCTAAGTCCGACTTGCTGAAGCAGCATCAAAGGTCTGTGCTCTTTTATTACCCAGCCTGGACCCTGCACAAGATGAGCTCGTCTCTCTGCAGAGCAGAACAGGGCCTCCTTGATTCCAGCAGGGAGGGAATATGCATTTGACAGAGGCTCAAACCACATTTTGAGTGCTAATATTGTTGTGGTTCTTGTGGTTATTTTAGTTGGGATCTTTGGCAATTATCTTTGTGTTACATGAGGAAATGATATTTTTGTTCATTAGTTATGAATCATGGAGGAATACGTTTAGTGTGTTATGACTGATTTTAAATGTATTTCCATGAACTGCATGAATTTATTTCATGTATGTGATTCTTATTGCTACAACTTGCTTTCAGGTCCTGATAGGAAGCAATGAATAAATCAAATAAATACTGACTTCCCCCTTTGTTTCTTATTTTTTCATTTTTAACACAAAGCAGGCTCTTAAGCTGGAGCTGGAGAAGGGCAAATGGGAAGAGGTTGATTAAGCCTGACTTCTTTAGCCCTTTTTCTGCTCAAAATCCACCTTCTCCAGTCTGTTTCTCCACCAATTTAGCAAAACATACAAGGACCTTGAAGGTTCCCCAAACCTTTCCAACTATGGGTAAAACAGTCACTGAGAAAAGGAAGTTTTTAGCTGAGAAACCAAACGGAGAGGGAAGCGTTAAGTTGCTTCTTCCTGTCCATCCATTTTTCCATCAGATGCTGATTTTTTTTTAAAGCGGAGGACAGTATCAGGGAGCTGTACAGAGCATACATTCGCACCTTCCATACACAAGTTGCTGGATGATTCTCTTCTTTATGTCTTTGCTTACAGAAGAATTCTGCTGGGAAGCAGTGAGGAATGTTAAGAATCCCAACAATGTCCACCACACAGACAGCCACCTGTGCCACACACAGCATGGCATTTCCCCACTTGGCTGGGGTTTTTTCTTCTTCACAAGCTGTGACCTCCCTTATCCCTATTGACCTAAAGACAAACACTTCATTCCTGCAATTCCCCATTATTCCAGCTTGTAGGCTTGAGCAGTCACAGCCTCATTTTTAGGACGCTAAATTCTTTAATGCATTCATGGTGCCCTTCACATTGTCTGTCTTATCTAAACGAAGGGCTAAAAGAGGCAAGACAAAATTCCTATTCCTCTCTCCAAATCCAAATTCTACTTTATTCGGTCTGCTTGCTCTCTTTTAAAATGAAAATTGCATTTCTTCATATTCTGACAAGAAAATAAAGGCCAAATGTGTGTGCACCAGGAGTAAAGCACAGCCTAAAATGCCCACAAAAGAATCTGTTTAAACCAACCCCCCAACCCCCACTATATCTGAAAGTGAGGGAATGAAATAAAGGGATGATTCTCGAAAATAAGAGAAGTGCTCGTAAGTGGACATAATCAGAGGAACAAGGCACTATGGAGAACACCAAGCCTTCTTGTGAAAGAGCCTCATGGTAAGAAGAGCACTTTATACGTAAAAGTTTCTCCACTATTTGAGCTGTCGAGAAGAGTAAGAAGAGAAGCACCAATTCCCTGCCTAAAAACCTGTTGCTTTAGGGCAAGGATTGGGAACCTGTGACCTTACAGATGTTGTTGGACTTCCAACTCCCATCAGCTCCAACCAGCATGGCCAATGGCCAAGGATGATGGGAATGTAGTCCAGCGACATCTGTAGGGCCAAAGGGTCCCCACCCATGCTTTAAGATTTTTGTCCAAACCTGTTATACATTAAAATGATTTATGAAGAAATATGAAAGGTTAGGAATAGTAAAGCTATTATTGTTACAGCACTATGTAACTGATTTCAGTTATTTCAAATACAGCCTTGTTGTCAGGCACAATTTAACATGCGGCTGGATCAAACATGCCAAATCCCATCCACACTAGTCATCCTTGAGAGCAGAATTTCATTTAGATTTGTTGGTGCGTGTTCCCCATAAATTAAGTTTGGGTTCAAGAATCTCCATCCCTACAGGAACAAAAATTAATTACAAAGATAAACATAACTATAGGTGTGATAGGCATGTTTGTATCAGCCACCTTGTTATACAAAAACCATCAATCTCCAGGCCAGGAGACTTGTTCACAACAATGGTAAGAGATTCAGGTAGGTAGCCGTGTTGGTCTGACGCAGTCGAAATAAAATAAATAAATAAATAAATTGTCCAGTAGCACCTTGTAGACCAACTAAGTTTGTTCTGGTATAGGTTTTCGTGTGCATGCACCAGAAGAAGTGTGCATGCACACAAAAGCTTATACCAGAACAAACTTAGTTGGTCTACAAGGTGCTACTGGACAATTTTTTATTTTTTATTTTTATTTCAACAATGGCAAAGTCAGGTAATTTCAAAGGACAAGCTAATCCTGTCATAGTTTCGTGCTGCAGAAAATAAAACAATGTAGCAGCATTTTGAGGTGTTCAAGACTTTGGATGAACAAAGAGCTTGGATGTGGTATATTGATAGATAGAGAACCATCACAAGTGGTTCGGCTTTCCAGTCATTCATAGCAAAACAAAGACTTGAGCCACATATTTTCCCCACACCCTCATACAAACATATAAGCCCATGTAAGAAAAACCACTGTGTGTTAACCAGCTCTCAAAACACTTATCCGTGCTGCTGTCCAGTCTTCCTAAATTTCCTGCCCTGAACCTCCTGCCTCTTTACTCGCACTGGCATAGTTTCCTGCACGCCTCTTCTGTAGCTTTTCAGTGCCTGGCCTTTTTCCACTCTAATTACTCAGCTGAACTTTCAGTCCAGTCCCTACTCTCCATTAGACATCAGACTAGATCCTGAATAAAGGCAAAGAACAGAACTAAGAGACTGGTAGTCTACTGTAAACTACTCAAAAGGAAATCCTATTGATTGCAGCCTAAATGTCATGTGTCATTTGTGTACTCCAATGCTACGCTTTGCCAGTTAAGTACAAACCAACTTGGAAACCATAATTTTCATGGGTCAAATTTGACATGCAATTTATACACTTCCTCACACACATAAGCCTCACTGGGTCAAATTCAATTTTGTCAACAATAAAGTCAGCTTCTTTGAAACCCACAGGACCTACCAGGTGTGAACTTGCAATAGGACTGGACAGTTGTCACAGCAAAGGAAGCAACAGTTGGTTGTATATATAGTAAGTTATATTTCTAAGGCTAAGCATAGAGTTGAGCTGGACTTGGTGGTTCATTTAAGTGCAGACATGTTACATGTATGGGCTAATATGGTATTTGCTGGCACAGTCCCATTCTGTGTTTGTCCTTCCTGTTGCTCTGATCCACTTTCAGACTAAGTTTGCTGTACTAGGTAGTGATGTACTTACTATTCAGTGAAGAATCTGGCAATACCATATTGACTAATATCGTCTCTGCTTTCCAACAGCTGGCTCACTGCATCTTCCATATATGTGAGGACGTGTTGTTGAGCTGAAAAAGATGGAACATAAGGAAACTGAAACGTATGACTAGCCTTGGATATAACCCTATGGCTTAAAATAGAGGTTGGCAAACAAGTCTTCAGGACAGTACAACCCACAGCAAACTTCTCCTTTTAAGAGATCCCAAAGGGATGTTTTCTCAGGGGCAGTTGGGTACTCATCAAAGTAGCATTTATAAAAGTTGACACATTAGAGTCCAAATGGCTCACTAAGGAGAACTGTACATTTTCAAGACTGCTGGTATAAGGGTTGTTAGGCTTGACAAAGGACACTATTCATTTGCTGTAGAGTTTTTGGACAAGGACAACTTGGTGAAATGCTTTAGCAACTTTACTGCTTTCACAAAAGGCCACACAAGTGGAAGGATATTGGCATGGATGTGCCCTTCTTTCAGCCACTTTGATGCCAACAACAAACAGAGGGCTTTTCCTGAACTGCTTTAGTGTTGTTCTAGCAGTACATCTGCAGTAATGTTCCTCTCCCCATGTAAGAAAAGGGGTGGAGTTATTCCTCCAACCTAAGAATAACCTTGCTTTAAACTGTGAAGCACAAGAGATAGAGACCAGGGTCTAGTCTGAAGGCACGTGAGACAGTTATTCTCCTGGGATTAAATTAGTCTGGGTCTGGTCAACAGGCGAGGGAGGTCTCCTGAGAACCATATGCATGCCACCTTCAATTATGTGATGAAAAAGAATGTGTAATATAAATGTATATAAAAATAATTGTAAAAGCTCAAGCAAGGGAAAGGGTGAGCACACTAACACAAAAAAAGAAGGGGAAGCGTTTTTCAAATGGTGGAAGATTTCAAATGGTGGAATAAATAGATTCAACTTCCAGCGAACATTGTGCTGATGTAACTGCTGCATGCAATAAGTACCTCAAACACAGAGCTGCCACATTCTGCGACATCCAGCCAGTTATGCCTGTTGGGCTCCATAATCATGCATTACAAGCAATTCTAGTTAGTGGTGTGTGGATTGCTAAAGAGCACAAGAGCACTTATTGGAACAATGGAATTTAGTTGGTCCAGCCATGCACACAGTCCTCTCAGTAGAAGCCCAGTTAGAAAAGGAAGTGCATAAATCTGGACTGATGTATCCTTCTAATTAAAAAGAAATGCAAAAGACACAGTAATGTTCCAGAATCAACTAATAAGGAATGCAGACAAAGCAATCCTATTGAAGTTATCAGAAGGTCCATACCTAATGCGCACAGGTCCATCCTTAAATTATAGCTCAACAGTCCCAGTACAAGACTGTCAACTGAAACTGGACAGTATGGTCATATTTAGAATCTTATCTGGGGTAGTTGTCCTTATCCTGCAAGTGAGCAGCTTCAGAAAGTGGTAAGGGATAAAAGGGACATCCACCTAGAGCACCTTATCAGCTGAATCAACCCTGGCAATCAGTGGGCTGACAGATGTTACAGGCAGATAATTCTCATATCCAGATAATTTCAAAATCAGATGATTGCTGGCTGATGTAGACAAGTTTATTACCAACAGCATAGCTTAATACATACTAATAGTACAAAAAGTTACCAGCTACTTTTTCCACCCTGTACAGTGTTGACAGTCAAATGGGGGTTTTTTCATCTAAAATTATTTGGGGAACTTTACAAATTTAAGTTTTGTAAACTTGCATTTCTGATATGTTTAACTCACTTTTACATTGACTTGGGATTTGCTTGTGAAAGAGAGTTATATTGTAACAACTGTCTACTAACAATCTCTCTGACTTTACACAAGGGCTTTGTCAATTGCACTGGCTTCTAGTCTGTTTTCAGGTCCAATTCAAAGTGCAGCTTGGGGTCCGGTTACTTTTTTTAACGTATTTTTATTAAAGATTTCTTGGTTTACAAAAGCATGTGAAATGTCTCTTTTTTCAAGTTACATTTTCTACAGATCAGTTTCTTTTGTTGAGACATTAGTGTTACATTAGGAACAAAAGGGGGAAAGAGGTGGAGGGGGCCATGGTGAGTGGGGGTGGAGTCGGGTGGTGATGTTTCTATTTTACTTAATGTATGTGCGGTGGGTTTTGTGTCAGCGTCACTTGTGCGGGTTCTCTTTACTATTCGCTTGTGTTTCTTTGCTGGTGAGAGAGGTTGGGGTTGGCCTAGGGTATGGTTCCTTGTTTGTGATTGGCTGTGGTGAACTTTGTTTTCATGTGTGAGTGGGGTGTGTGTGTGTTTTTGAATCAGGTTAGCCATATTGATTCGTATGCTGTTGGTGGATTCTTGTCACTGTCTTGTTGGGCTGTGTATGTGATAAAGGGGAGCCATACCAGGTGAAGGCGTCTTCTTCCATTTGTCCCCGTGTCAGTTTCAGTTTATTGGACAGTTTTTCTAATAATGCTGTTTCCCATACTATTTGGTACCATTGGTCCATGCTTACTCCTGGGGGTCAGGTTACCTGAAGAATCACCTCCACCCACACCTGCCTAACAGGACTAAAACCACGTTTTGTGGCCCTTCTGCAGATGATCCTGTACTTTTGTATACGTACAACTGTTTTTAAAACAGATTTTTTAAAAAAAGAACAGTATTCTCAAAGAAAACAGCACAAGGAAACTTACTTCTCAGTTAAGAATAGCTGGTGATACATTTGTTCCTTGCCATCTTACTGCGACTATATCCCCCCCCCTGCCAATATCTCTCTCACCTTCCCCAACATCCAGTCTGACTCAGAAGACCCACAGTTCTGCAAGCCACTGTAGTTGTGCATGCTAACCTCTTCCACCCACACATGGTACTTATAATGGAAAGCTCTTTCATCCTGCCATAGCTGACAGGTGGGAAGGCAGGGCAGGTGGACCCAAGGAGAAGCCTAGAGAAGACGATTTGCTAGTGGGCACTATGATTAAAACTTCAGATGAGTTCTGATTGTTATCAGGGACTTTTTCTGTCTAGAACATTATTTAGTACAATGGCAGAATGGGTAAAGCACACCCTGGAAAATACCTTGCAGCTGGTGGTAAGACTGTGAGCCAGAGGTTCAAAGATATTATCTGGCAATAAAAGATACAGGGCGTAGCTTTATTTAATTATTTTAATGCAAAGGAATAAATTTTTTAATTTATGTGAGTGATTAAAGAAAAATAACTCCACGCACCTGTGATGCCTCAGGGAGGAACGAGTCGTGCAACTCAGTCACACTCCTAAGTTAACAGCAACCAGGTTATTTTCTTCTCCTCCCTCCCTCCCTTTCCCCTGCGTGCCCAAGTGCTGTGCTCAGTGATCTCCTCCCAGAAATTGTCTGAGCCAGCAACGGCACTCATTAAATCCAAATGCAACATGCTAGTAAAAAGTCCTCACCTCTCACCTAAGAACCTCTTACCCAATTACAACAGGGAGGGCTTTTTCCCCCCTCCACACTTTGGTCTTGAAGATGCTCTTCCCATTTGGTCTGGTCCTGTGTCCAAGCCCAGAGATCTGAACACAAGTTAACTGTTCACACACACACTTAAAGTGTGGAATGAGCACCTTGTAATCTGCATCTACAAGATGACACTGCGCAATCCATATTTACAAGTTTATATATCACAAAACACAGTCTCATAATTCTGTAATAATGACAGCATTCAGTGTTAGAAGATATCTCCCAGCCAGCTGCAATTTCTGATCATGACAAGCAAACACATCTATTAGCTAAATGTTATAACAAATTCACTTCTTTTTAGAAGGTTTTGAAGAATTAATTAACTCTGAAATTCTTCTATCCACCTCTTTTGAAGTTTCCCTTTCCCTTTCTCCACTTTTTTTGATCCTTTCATGGGGTTATTAAAGATAAGTGGTCCATTTAAAGTAAGATGGTACAAGGTTAAAACAGTTAATCAACCAATGCAGATAACATATTCAAACATAGATATCTATACAAGAAAGGTCAGGTGAGAGAAAACAGGAAGGGTGGTGGGTGAAGCAGACAACAAAGTTATCATAATCACCACTTAGGTCTTATCAGTGAGACATGGTTATTTGTAACATTTTATTTTCATTGCCTCATTTAACCACAAATCTCGCTCTTAAAAAGGAAATAAATTTAGTATTAGTAAAGTTAATCTGTGTTCTGATCAGAGTTCTAACAAGCATTTTATCACACACCTGTGAAAGTTAAATCATTTGACCGCACTGTGGGCAGACAAGGGGAAGCTGATAAGAATCAAGTTCTAACACACAGGATCCAAAGGAATCAAATGGTTCTGTTGCTCCGAGGTAAATCAGTAACCAAGCAGATGGAGGCACATCAAATAATGATTGGCATTATGGCAAATGCAGTACAGTACTAGTAGTGCTGAAGCAGAAAGAAAAGCAGCTGTGTTGCCCCAGGAGAAAAAAAGACACAATAAAAACATCAACCTTGGGGCAATACCTTTATTTGGAAATTGAAAATATCACAGCACTGTGTAAAGGCTTTTGAGGTCTCCAGAATTCATCATCAGACTAGATGGTGAACAGGAATACCAATGGCAAGGGTTGTTTTTTTGTAATTACAGAGATAGGGAAACAACCATTGTATATATTTGCTTCCCAAGAGGTCCCAGTGTGACCTGATTAACATCTAACACAGCCAAATCTGACCGTCTGTTGTCTTACCCTGGGCTTGTCCACATTTTAGAATTTTTTAGCTAATAATCTGCTTTCCCCCATTTGAATTAGACCAGAGCAGTCCACAGCTGCATGTATTTGAATTTGTATATGAAGAACAACCTTGGTCTTTCCTGTTCATACCAACAGGTATTTCCCCCTGCTTTTCAATTTGTTGATTCTATTATGCTAATTAAGTAGCAACAGGGTATGCCCACATATAGCTATGCGTGCACCTTGTTATGAAACAAATTCCCTACCCAACAGCTGTGCAAAAGCACACAGTCAAATTGGGCAGCTGTAAATTTGCTTGTGCAGTTTTCTGGTTTTGTTTAAACCTGAGGGCTCAAAAGAAAATATCTTGCCATATAATACAAACACAAGAGTGTCATCATTCTACACTTTGCTTGGTCACACACAGGTGGTACTGTGAACTGCAGTGTGACAATAGCCTTCAGAGAGCTGTGGGGCCTTCACAGCAGTGTCTGAGGGCAGTGTGGCCAAAGTAAGCCACAGAGCAACAGTCATGACAGGCGAGGGCAGTTCCTCAGCAACTGTCCTGGTCCACTGCCACTATTGTTCACCTCACAGCCGATGCCATTTCAGCCTTCTCCTGTGAGCAGGATAGTTGCTGAACAGCTGACCCAATCTGTAGTGACTCTTCCTTTGTGGCTCATGTAGCCTGTCAGCCTCCCTTCATGGGAGAATGCATAAAGGGAGGGAGGGTTCCTCTGTGGCTAATTTGAGCCTACTTCTGCTGCAGTTTTCCCCTTCCTCACAGGAGAAGCGGTAAGGGGAAGGGAGGCTTGGCAAGGTCCAAAGGGAGAGGGGAGGGAGATCTATCTCTCCTTTGTGCCTTTCAAGCCTTTCCTCTCTCCAGGTAAGAGCACTCTGTTAATGTTCGGAGGTACCTGATTTGGGGGTTCTCCCACTCTCTGCCTCAGGCGGAAGCAGCAGCATGAGGTGGAAAGGGAAAGGGTCTACTGGGTTACCTTAGGCAATTGAAAAATGGAGAGTAGGGGAGCAAGTAAAGGTAAAAGACCCCTGGATGGTTAAAAAGGTAAAAGTAAAGGACCCCTGACAGTTAAGTCCAGTTGCGACACTCATCAGTCAAGTTCAACTATGGGGTGTGGCACTCATCTCTGCTTTCAGGCCAAGGGAGCTAGTGTTAGTCTGCATACAGCGTTTCTGCATCATGTGGCCAGCATAACTAAACCGCTTCTGGCGCACGGGACACCGTGACGAGTGCCAGAGTGCACGGAAATGCCATTTACCTTCCCGCTGCAGCGGTATCTACTTATCTACTTACACTGGTAGACTTTCGAACTGCTAGGTTGGCACAAACTGGGACAAAGCAACAGTTCATCCCGTTACGCAGATTTGACCTTCTGATCAGCAAGCCCAGGGGGGTTGTCAATGAAGGTTTTGTGCAAATCTGAGGGACCAATTCTTGGGCTGTAGCCCTCTCCTTGCACTGTTTATTCTGTTATCACCAGGTTGGGCACTGCTTTTCTTCTGGGTGAAGACAAAGGCCAAGTAAGTAGTTCTGCCTTCTCTCTTGTCACCCAACAGCATTTCTTAATCTTCTCCACGTAAAGGACCTACTACTACCTTGTTCTTCCTCTTGCTTTGAACATAGCCGAAAAAACTTTAAAAATTATTTTTCAGCTCTCTTACAAATGTGGTAGAGCATACTAAAAAGGGGCAAACACTACAAAGAAACAACTGTCGTGTAATGGGTGCTCCCTAGCTTTAAATGTAAAACAAGAAGACCCAACTATGAACTGAAAATTGTAATCATAATTTTCCTGACATTTTCCTTAAGGGGAAAAAACCTACCCACTCAATAAGCTGTCAAGTCCAGTGGGAGGTCAAAACGCTTACATGCTGCAGGGAGGGGGTAAAAATAAAGCCAGCAAGCCCATTACATATTGCCATATCCCCTGTCTCTCCCTCACAGACATTAGGACTCCACTATTGTATGTCTGAGCACTTTCTGTTATGCTGCTCGGTAAGAAAACAGGAGAAAGTGCTGAGGATTATGAAGCAGTTATAACTGGAGCTTAAGCACATGCCGCTCTTGCTGCAACTTTACTTAAAGTGGAATCGTGTGTCTACTCAGAAGCAAGCCTCATTAATTTAATGGGACTTACTTCCAGGAATATGGGTGAAGGATTACAGTTTAAGAGCTGTCAAGAGAACACTAAAAAGAGAAGTCAGAGATGGTGAACAACCGCTTCAGAAATGGACAAGGGATGGCCATTCAAATCTCTCGTATTAAGTTCTAAAAGGATTAAAACAGTATCACATAGCAAACAGTACTACTGCATATATCAGCCTGTTTCCGGTAGTGGTTTTTGTTAAAGCCTAGCCATAAGAACATTTTTCAGTCTTTTCAAAGCTGCTACTGCAAAAGTCCTACATTTAGAACTTCATCTGTAATTATCTTCAAAGCACATTTTATTAATTATGTTGCAGATAAAAACTGTACCAGATACATTTCCCACTTAAGCATATATTTTCAGGAAGAAACTCGCTGGCTGTTTCAAATAAAAGAATAACTTGGCTCTAGCATCTTGATACATGTTTCCTGGTGCCTAAAGGTGACAAGAGTGATTCATGAAACTAATATTTTGATTGCCAATCAGGTAACAGTTTGACGGCGACTGTTCCGCAGTGTGTTTTTTGAGCAAGCGTAACAGACACAAACAAACAAAAACACAGGCACAAACTGGGTTACTGGATGTAAAATCCTATGTTCTGTCTACAGAGGTACGGTGGTTTCAATCACACAAAAGCACCAAACTATGCTCGCCAAACGTGTCTCTGTATACACACAGGGTGTTAAATACTGCTATTAATATATCTGTCAATATCTGTATTGGATTTGAAACTGTTTACATAGATAAATGTTTTGACTGCTTTTATATAAAAGCTTTTAATTGTTTCTATATATGCAATTGTTTTATAAGTTTTATTCTATTGTTAAATTGCTTTGCATTGCTTCATATGAAATGATTTATACATGAAATAAATAATTGTGCTGTAAAAACTTTTTCAGCTATGAAAATCTTGATTTTTGTGCATTTATGTGACAATCACATGTAACCCAGTTGTTTTGCTTAAGCCTGCATAACAGCAGCAGAGCATACAACTTTAAAAAAAACCCAACCTTATCCATTTAATATTCCACAGTTTTTATGCCAAAATCTTAAAACTGCTTTTTAAACCCAAGGAGTCTGGAGGTTAGTGGAACATTACCCTCTGGTCAGTAGGCTGCTAAGCACACATTTATTATAATGCTTTCATTTTCACGGTGCAGATTTCTTCCTTTAAATTGGGCCGTTTTTCAAGGTTTGTGACCTTATCTTCAAATGCCTGTAGCCAGGCTACTATAGCTGACACTCTAAAAACATGTCCTGCCACAATAGCTACAGTCCACTGAACTATTCAAGCTGTCAGCCAAGAGAGTGAGAGAGACATGCACGTGAGGGCAGTTTTGCCTTGGCAGCTGATCCCATGCTGGCAAAGTTGAAGGTGCTGATAGTCAGGAACAAGCTGCGCTGCATAATAAGACCAACCTTTGTTGGTTATATGCCTCACTGACCGCAATGCGACTTGCTTCTGAGTAAGTAAGTCCTAAAACATGTATTTTTAGAGCACTAAAAATATTTGACACAGTGCAAGTTTATCAGATTCACCATTTCCTGTTTCATCCACTGGGATTTGGCTAGCGTTACAAGTTTTGAAAGCTAAACCCAGAATTGGAGGGATTAATTTGGTTAGAAGTCCCACGAGGCAAAAGATATACACACCTGGGATGCAGCTCTTAAAGAATATAAAACTTTATAGTTCAGTCTGTTTGCTTGGAAATATGTCCTTTAGGGAAACTGGTTTCCCCCAACAAGTGGTTGTGTGTTTGTGTCTGTAGTGGTGGTGTGTGTGTGTGTGTGTCTTTTGATTTTGAGGCTTTATGTCATAATTCCTAAAGCACTGCCTCCAGAGCAGACCTATGGGTTTCAATGGTAATAATTTGATATTTTTGCCTCCTCCAGTCAAACATTCTGTCATGTAAAGCACAAAGTCATACCAAAACACAGGAGAGTGAATTTCTGAGTATCTCCTACTAAAAATTGCTAGGGTCATTTTGTTCATAACCATCACTTAAGACACCAGATACACAGGCAGAATTATAAATTCTATTCTACTGAACTGATTCTTTCCAATCATGTCTTAGATTCATACCAGACAGCCCTATAGATTATCCAGGACAAGACCGGCAAATAACCAAGACAAACAAAAGCTCAACTATTGTATGCTGCCAGGACCGATCCTCTCCGTTTTACAGAGTTTTGTGACTCTGACACTTTGTTAACCTCAGTATCGCTCTTCAGAAACTCAGGGAGGTGCTCCTACACTGTTTGGCAAATGTGCTGGTCTGGCACGTCATTCAGCAGATAGTGTTACAACGCAGGGTATATGCTGCTGATCTGGGACATGTGTTGTGAGGCTATACAATCTGGCAGTATTTTACCACTAAGGACAACATGGGTCAAATGGAATCTAAATTAAGAACAAAAGAATTTCTCAGTCTTGAGCTCAACTGAAAACAAAAACTTCTGTGTTTAGCTAGCAAAGCAATGCCAATGCACAACCTTTTACAGATAGCCCATCCTCATGCAGCCTGGTATCACACACCCTTTTTGTGTGTGCTCAGAATCAAATACTGGCATGTTGCTCTCCTCTATGATGGGAGGATGAGTGACTTCAAGTGTACCTTGCCAGTCAGTATATGACGGCTGTGACACATTGTGACAATACAAGCCAGGGATGTCCCTTTTCTTTTTTTAAGTGGCCCTGTTTTTTGCGCTGCGCATGTCATTTTGGACTGGTACACTGCACCAAGGCGCTAACACTTTCCCCATGCCTTTTCTACTCAAATCATTATCCCAGGGTCTCCCCACATTTTTTCAGTCTAAAATATCAGGAACATAGGGAGCTGCACTGGCCTACCAAGCTCAGTATTGTCTAAAATGGTACAGAAATGGCACTCCAGGGTCTCTTCCAGCCCTACCTAGAGATGCTGGGAATTGAACCTGGGACCTTTGGCATGTAAAGCAGATGCTCTTCCCCTTCCCCTTCCCCTATTCTCTTACGACTCAAGAGGACTGAATCCAAACTAAGTTAGTTGCATTTAGGACCCACTGAAAGCAATGTGAGAACTCCAGTCCCACTACTTTCAATGGGAACTACGTGTAGCTAACCTACAGCACTAACATCCTATACATGTTTACTCAGAAGTAAGTCCCACTGATTTTAATGAGACCTATTAGCCCAAGGTATTTGGGCAGAGAGTTGCAGCCTTAGTCTGGAGCCGATGCAGAATCTTTAAGCGTTAACTGTGAATGCAATATTAATTACTATGTTTCTTTCACTAAAGTACTTATTATTTCTAAACTCCTTGCCAACCAAATAGTTAAATGTACGAAGGCAGGAGAGCAGGCAGGCAAACATGAAAGAAGGAACAGCTAGCTAGAAGAAAGAAGAAAGCATCAAACGCATCTGCAGTGCCCCAAGAGCTCGTTTTCATGCGCTGAGAGTCAAGGGCTCTCTGACTGGCAATGGCAGAACAGCTGCACCCCACAGCGCTTCCCTTTCGTAAGAGACGCCACAACTCTGGCATCAACCAGTCCCAGGCTTTACAAAACACAGACCTTCCCTGGCAGGGGGCTCATGTTCTCACATGTCCACAGCTGGCACAAGATGAAGGGGGAAAGGATTCTGGTAGAGAGGGGAAAGAGAGGAACTTAGCTCAAGAGAGGAAATAATTAAAAGTTTCAAAATCGCTCTGAGAAGAGTAAGCCCTCCATTAGACCTGGAGTTGGAAAAGCGCTTCACTGAAAGGGCAGCACTTCATCAAAAGAACCAAGAAATCAAAGCTATGAAGCACATTCAGATATGGTAGAGCTTTGAACTGGGAAAGTTCCTCGTGGAACAGCCATACATTCAAGCTGCTCCACCTCAACTCCACATCTACAACGGGGAGATATTGATGGGCTGCTACCATACAGAATGGTTGTAAGGATTACTGAAGTTCTATATTTAGAGTACATTGACCACAGCAGGTTTTTAGTAGTGTCCCCTTGGTTTGTATTGTTTAATGCTATTCCCTTTCCAGCTGCTGGTTTGTTTGTTTTTAGCAACCACTTTTTTAGTGGTCCTCTTGACATATTAAGTTAATACCATTTTCTTATGATAGCTGGTTGCTATATGTGTTTTCAAATATTGCATGATTACAAATATTGATTTCATTTCTTAATGAATCCATTCTTGAAATGCATTTCAAAAGGCAGGACATTAGTAATCATACCTAGCATTAATTTCGTTAATGTTTCTTCCTCTGCAACATCCTGAATTTTAACAAGTGGCTGAAATACTGTACTTTAAGCATACCAAAAGGGTTGATATCCTCATCTTCAACCCCATCTTTAGTCACTCCATATTAACTATTGCTTTCATATCAAAATGATCCTGTTTTAAGTTTACATTATTTTTGCCTTTTCTGCAGTCAGCTTATCCCCTATAGGTCCTTCCTCACAAGTTGTTTCTGCTTCTCTATGGTAAATCTTCCTCAGTGGTGGCTTGGGCCCATTGAGAATGGTATCCAGGCTGAAGGAATGGAGGCCAACAGTAGGTGGAACCAGAGCCAATGACAAACGGAGCCTACCAATTCTAGTTTTGTCTAGAGATGAGAAGGCACAGATCCATTTTTTAATCAAATTGGTTTTTTTTGGGGGGGTACTTTTTAAAAAACACACACAAATGAACAGAAAATTGGGGTAGGCCTGTTTACCCTCCCCCATTTTTTCTGGTTTTACCAATCTCCCGCACCCTTCATATCTCTAGTATTGTCCCCATCCACCTCTCTGTTGAGTTCTACAAAGCAGCACTGAGGAGCAAGCTGACAGCCAGTGCCACCTCTAGGCTGCTTGTAAGTTAGACTGCTCACAAGTAAGAATGCAGGCAGGTGCCGGCTGGCTGAGGCTAGACTGGGAATGGCGAAGTAGTCCCATTTGCCCTAATGAACTAGTATCCACTATTTCCCCATATTTAACAGACTCAACTTTCTGGGTCCATTATACTTTGAATAAAGGCAGCTCTGTTCACTACATGGGGGCAGGGATTCAACGCTTTGATATAGGATGGAAGTCTCCATACACAAGGGTAAGGAAGAAAGGTTCAGGACAGGTTGCACCACTCCCCAAACATCTATGCAGTTGATGGGGGCAATTGCATTACCAATAGGAAGCAGTCAGGTTTTTTAAAGCCCCTTGCTCTTTAACAACTGAACATGAATGGCATAAATGAGAACACTGAAATCCAAACACAGGACAGCCTTGTTCTGTTAGCTCAGTTGGTTACAGCGTGATGCTGATAATGCCAAGGTCACATGTCTGATCCCTGTATGGATGCATATTCCTGCACTGCAGAGAGTTGGACTAGATCAGAGGCCGGCAACCTAAGGCCCATGGGCTGGAAGCGGCCCATGAGGGTCGCTTAACTGGCCCATGGGCAGCCCCCAAACCAAGCCGCCCACTCAGTGAGTCCCCGCGCACTGCGCCAAACCAGCGCAGCGCGACGCAGGGACTCTCTTCCTCGTATCCAGAAATCGCTTCTGCGTATGCCCAGACGCCAAAAATCGCTTCTGCGCAGGTGCAGTTTTCGGCGTCTGGGCATGTGCAGAAGCAATTTCCAGCCCTGCGGACATGCACAGATGTGATTTCCGGTGTCGCGCTGTGCCAACCCGGTCCACGGAGGATCTCCACAGGAGTGATCCAGCCCATGCCCGGTAAGCCTTGCCAACCCCTGGACTAGATGATCCAGGAGGTCCCTTCCAACTCTATTATTGTACCATTTGGTATGAATGAGGTTCTAATGCAGAAGTATGGACAAGACCCAGGTGCCTCTGTAGTCCAGGCACCTCCAAGCACAACCTTGATCTCTAGTCCCTGAAAATATGTCACAGAATGTGTAACAGAAAAATATCGCAGCACAAACTGACACAGGGGGTGTTCACTACAACAGGGTTGGGATGGGGGTTTAAAAGGACCCAGCTCGCTTAGTTCCTTCTCATGTGTGTAGAGGGGAGGGGGACGACTTACAAGACACTTCACCCATCCCAAGAGAGAGGAGGCTGAGCTTGGAGTCTCTTCAAAGAACACCTGATACACAGCCCGGGGCAACAAACAGACTTCTGAATGAGATTAACATGATTTGGTTTCTCTAATCACAATTACCTGTAGTCTCACAGCCAGTTAATTCTATTAACAAGGCCTTGAGAAACACAATAAAGCACCTGGAGAAAGGCTGCTATTCTCTCCAAAGAATTTTTTTTAAACAAACCCAGGTCAATGCCGAAAGAGATTCAAAAGCACTTTCCCAAACATTGCTTACTTTTACTGGATTCATATTAATCAAACAAACCCTTAGTCAACAGCTTTTGTGAAAATCATATAGGCGCTCCCCCACACCCCTGAAATAAAGTAACTCTTTAAAAAACAACATACCTGAGCATGATCTATACAACACAGGGACGGGACAACCAACTTATTTTTTACTACAGCAGCGGCCTACTTTTGAGAGAACTGAACTTCCCAAATTCCATACAGAACAGAAATTTAAGGCAGGTAAAAGTCAACAGATTTTTCAAACTGTTTCCAAAAAAGTATGAATTTAAATGTAGGAGCACAAGTAAAAGGGATGAATGGGCTAAATAGGTAAGTAGATCAAATCCATCCATTAGATTATGACCTAGATTTAAATGTATAATTGAGAACTAAAAGCAGATATTCAAGTTTAGGGGACAAAAGGCCAAGATTTGTATCGCTGGGAGGCCTGAACTTCAACATAATGACATGAAATTATTATTGTTTCCTCCCACATAACAAGACCCTAAGATCTGGTTCTCCAGAAGCGGCTTAGTCATGCTGGCCACATGACCTGGAAGCTGTACGCCGGCTCCCTCAGCCAATAAAGCGAGATGCGCGCCGCAACCCCAGATTCGTCCGCGACTGGACTTAATGGTCAGGGGTCCCTTGATGATCATCTTCCCAGGTGTCATGGCCAGATGAAGAGGGGAAGGCCAGTAGCTCAGTAGTAGAACATGCACTTTATTTGCAAAAGGTCTTGTGTTCAGTCCCTAGCATCTCCAGGTTGGGCTGGAAATGTCCCCTGCCTGAAACTCTGGAGAGCCAGTGCTAATAGTTTTGCTGACACTGAGCTTGATTGACCAATGTTCTGACCTAATATAAGGCAGCATCCTATCACCCACCCTTGATGTGGGCGACTACTAGAGAAGCTGTATTTTCAGTGGTGGAGAGGCTTGCCTGGTGCCCAAGTTGTGGTCCTTTTAGCACCTTTTTATTTTCTAAAGCTTTTCAATCTTAATAAAAGTAATAATTATTGTTTCTTAGATACTTTTTTTGCACTGTAGCCTTCCTCTGACACTATTTTCACCCTGGTTTTATTCTCCTATTGTTTTTAGTTTTACATTTGTGTTTTATGTCATAGTTTTATACTTTTGGTCTTAATTTTTACTTGTAAACTGCTCTGAAAAGCTTTGTTTATTGGGTGGTATATACATATTATAAATAAAACAAAAGGGTACATTCTTTTTAAAAATTGAACACACAGAATCATCATATGATGGCTGAGAAATTTGCTCTGAAATACTAGGGGGTAAGGGAATTGGCTTCAATTGCATGTCCACTCAACAGAGTTCTTGGTTGGCCAAATCAAAACATCTGAGCCTTTGTTTCCCACACATAAGATGTGGCATAACAATGACCAACCCCACTGGATGGAGCAAGATAATGAGCATTCAACTAATAAAATTAGCCAGTTTTATACTGAGTTAAAGAAGATAACAGAGCTGGATGATGCTTTCCTACAGACTGGCTTATCCAGTGTCTTCAAAGAAAGGCTTTTCCTTATGGGGCTGTTACTTATTTGCTTAAATGAGTAGATTTTGAATTGTGTTACTGGAAAACCACGGGGTTATCTCCTGATAAGGAGCTTATCGGGAGTTCCTCAATGAAAAGTTCAGCAAGGACAAACAATTTTACCTAGAAGACAGCTTGCACACTATTGCCAATCTGCTCCTGCAGGTTGTAATCGCAGGGGAATATTGGACTTGTTCTAACCTAAGAGCATTCTCAGTTCCATGCAGGATCAGCAAAGACCTGGCCAAAACCGTACATGAGCGGAGTATACCTTTTTGATCATTGTGCTCAATCCTCTGCAGTGTGCAGGAGTTCCTTGGCAGGGAAGCCATTGTGGGAAGGGTTCTTTGAATATAGAAAAATAAATGGTGGCTACATGCCAATTGTGATCAAAGAGATGTTTAAGAGACACACCTCACACTTTCCTCTTTGCAGTATACTATAGTCCAGTTTTAATTGTTGGGATTGGGTATAATCAAAGGAGGAACTATGCTATTTTGAAGCAGGAAAATGATGGTGACTTCACAAATACAGAATTTTTAGTATCTGAACTCAATGTTCCAGCAGGATTAAGTCCCTCAGTGGGAGGCCTGTAGACCACATCAGTCCTTCCAAACTTCTCCTCTTCTTCCCTTACTTCCATTAATCTCATTCTTTTGTTTGGTGTGATGCTTCCAGTAGCCGCTAACACCTAGCTCACTCAAGTTGCATTCTGCAACTCAGGTAAAAGTATATCACACAACACATGCAGTTTCCTAAAGAAACACAGCAGCCATGACAGACATTGGTAGCCACAGGTCATGAGAGAGCCTATTCAGCATGGAAGACAATTTCCCAAAATTTATTTGAACACTAGTTTAGATTACAGGATTACATGTGTATAACATCTCTGCTATCCATAGGCATATTTTGTACTGCAAATACTTTATCTTCGATTGCTTACCCATTTCACACGCACTTTCAAGGACAGAAGAAGTGTGCCAAATGACTGAGGAGGCGGAAGCTGTGATCTTAAGATATATATATATACATACGGAATAAACCTTGTTGAATCCAGTGGGGTTCACTTCAAAATAGCAATGCATAGGACTGTGCTGTAAGGCACACTTATCTGGGAGCAAACCCCATAGAACACAACAGTACTTACTTTAGATTGTGCTACACAAATTTAAACCAAGTTCAAATCTTACCTTAGCAACAAACTCACTAGATAGTCTTAGGCAAGTCACTGTCTCTCAGCAGCACATCCAGAAAATAATATAATAACCATAATACAGTTGTTGCAAAGATTACTGAGATAATATATGTGAAACATTGCGAAACACTTTGGAGCACCCAGAAAGTGCTACGTAAATACTGTTGTTATATAATCTCAAAAGTGCTAGAACACTTCTTGGGGTTTGTTTGTCTTTTACTATAAAGAATCCTAACTTGATGCAAGAGGTTGCTTAGTTTAGCTTCGTTCCACCCTGATCAAAGGCATCCCTTTTCCTAAGGGATGAAAAAAAATGCCCCAATGCGGTTAATAGAGAGCCATTCCTGGCCCATTGTGAACAACGTTCTGTCATTCCAGCCCCCCACCCCCGTTTTAGACAATGTTATACTGAAACGTGTCTACAGCGCTTCCACCGGCCAACCCATTCACCGGTAATATTAACTGGCTGGAGAAGGAGATGAAAATCACCTTCTGTATTTGCATTACAAGCCTAAAGGATTTTTGCAGGTGTTTGAAATGGAAGACGAGTAGCATTGTGTTGCTGGCTACGTCGGCTTTTGCTTTCAAGAATGAATGGACGCAGGTTGAAAAACACTGAAAGCAAGATTGGAAACCCCACTGGCAACCATCCGACTCCCACCTCAGATAAAGGAGGAAACGCTAGGGAGACTTTAAATCGCCTGCCCCACCCAAGACGCGCCGAGCAGCGGGAGGAGGGGCGGGCCCCCCATTCATCCCCGTCTTCCTTCCAACCTGTGCTCGGGGGTCTTGGGGTGACCAATGCCCCACCCACCCCAGTTAGGAGAAAAACGGGGCGGGCAGAAATCCGAAGAGCCTCCAGAAGGGAGGGGTGCAGGGAAGCGCCTGCCTGGACCGCGCCGCTCCCTCCCTTCCTCCCTCGGTTGCTGCAGGGAAGGCGCAGCGGAGGCCACCTGCTCCGCGTGCCGCGCCCGCCGGAGCCTCACCCAGATACTCGAGCCCCGACGGGGAGAGGCGGTCAGCGTTCAGCATCCTGTCAAACCTCCTCCCTTCTTTTTCCCCCACACCGGTCTCTAGGACACCAGACGCTGCGGCCAGGGAAATTGTCTCCGGCCAGAAACAAGCTCCCTCGCAACTAGGATCCCCCTTGGAGGAAGAGGAACAGGAGCGGGGAGGGCGCGCCCGGAAACCCCCCCTCTTCGCGCTCCCCCGCACCACTCTTTAGCCAGGTGCCCGAGCAAGTGGCCTTTCAGGGTTGGGGTGGGTTGCTTGTTTGTGTGTTTGTGATTGCTATTAATAAAGGCGTCTGCAGAAGCATCCAGGGTTAACTACCTGCTTTAGATAATACTTCACCAGACCCCTTCTTTTGAAATGTAGATGGAATGACGGCAGTAGCCGTCAAACATTTTTTTTTTAATTTTAATTGAACAGTGGAACAATCAAAATCATAGCACGTCATATTATATGATTAACAAATCAATACAGCATTTATAAAAATATAATTCCATTTGACATTAACAAAATAGTAACCAAAAATTAAAGCAAGCACTGAATTTCATACGCACTCTCCACACCCCCATGACTCATAATCTTTCACTCTTCAGCTCATTAAAATACACATGATGCCCATGGCAACTCCCTTCTGAAGGTTCCTCAGGCTAGAGGTGGGCCAGCACAGGTGAGACCATCCACCACCTCAGGCCAGAGTCTCTTTCCCCGCACAGTTCTTCCTCTGGAAACAGCTCCCTTATGAAGGTTGAAGGGTGGGGGCAAGGCAGGTGGAAAAAGACATTACCTGCTGACCAGCACAGAGTCTCTGTGCATGTTGTTCAAGTAACTAGATTACTTAAACAGCATGCAGCACGCAATAGCAGAAATAACAAGGGAGCTTCACAGTTTCACTTTAGTTCTAGAAACATGCCCCCTCCCAATAATCTCCAGCTCTACCTAGGGATGCTCAGGATTTCGACCTGTGACATGCAAAACAGAGGTTCTACTACTGAGCTAGGTCCCTCCCTAATGTCTTATAGCAAATATTAGGAAGTATTCAAGCCTTTATTTTCTTTCCTAATTGAGACATTACTAACATGTTTACCCTTGTCTACTTCTTGGAGCAACCAGTTATCAAATGCCAACACAGGTTACTGCCTGCTGTTGTGTGTATATTTGCCCCCTGGTATTTGCATTGATGTACTAGTTTAGCATTGCTTTGAAACAATCGACTACCCTTCCACACCTCTATTCTATACCTCTCGGTTTCAATACAACAAAACATTTCTTCCAAAAAATGACACCCAGATCTGTACTTTAAACAATATACTATAAATGGTTCTGTTATATGGCTACAACTGATACAATAAATTGAAAAGAGATAACTGTTTTGGTTTGCTAAAAAATGTGTGCCTGGAGGAGCTATTTGATCATATGCAATACTTCTTGATCAGTAATTTAAGTACAGTAGTTTCCACAGTTCTCTCTAAGATTCAAAGTACTTTAAATTCCTTACCTTCAGAGCCCAATTCTCTAAAACTACATGAACAGCAGAACTACACCTGCAGGGGCTTTTACCCATACAGATGACACAATAGTACCCAAGGCGGTCACTCCACACAGCACGGTCAGCTCCCAGTACCAAATAAAGAGGATAAGATGTTAGAGTCTGGTGTGGATTTCATGCTCTGTTACTGAAAACAGCAGAGCACAGTTCTAGACTATTTATTGTTGCTGTTTTTTAGCTCTGTCTGTGAGTATGGTGCTTTTCATGTCTCTGTCCCAAGGAATTTGCGATCCAAAATTAGAGACGGGAACAACAGAGGAAGGGGAGGGTAGCAGAGGCAGGAGTAAACAAGGAAGCTTTGTGTGATGGTTAAAGTTACATGTGCTTAGGCTTAGTAACAGTTAATTAGTTTGCTCTTTTCAATATATTGCTATTTCATCTGCCATTATATGGACCACTCACTTATACATGCTGTTTTGCATGTAGGTTTAAAAGCTACATTTGGAATTTCTGTGGGTATTTCTGTGGTCCTTCTTTTCTCTAAATCTTTTGGCCCAAAATATATTTTGTTGCTTCTGTGAGGGTTTACTCTCTCTTAAGACCAGCTAAAAGGATGAAATCTTCCTTTTACACACAAAGCCCATTTGTGGTTGTAATAATGATAAGTTTGAGCACTACTGGCGCCTGACTGTTAATGACTCAAAAGAGAACCAAATAAAAACAAGATGTTGCGTCTTGAGCCCTTCACACACTTTATTCTGCTTTGTCACTTGCCCATTGGCCTGCCCCAGCTTGAAGCTGCTTATTACAAGATCCGCTACAGAGATCACCTGCTCTTCGGCAAGTGAGGAGAGTTTAAAAAGCTAAACTCTGATAAGTACATAATGGCTTTTATTATAATTGTGTGTTTTCAGTATGGTTACCAGATTTTTTTCAATGAATCTGGGGGCTCTCCCCCCCCCAGGTCAATATAAAGGGGGAAGGGGGCAGGAGAGCTATACCGCTGGACGTCCCCGGTTCCCCTTCAGCAGTGGTGGTGGCAGTGGCAGTCAGTAGTCCAGAGCCAGCTTGGTAGCGCAGTTGGCTCTGGCTGGCTTCAGGAGCCGCTTGCTGCTCACTGCCGTGGCGCCCACCAGTTTGCCTCCCGGAAGTCCCCATATGATGTGTCTTGTGCGCAACACATCATATGGGGACTTCCGGCAAGGAAAAATGGCGGGTGCCACGGTAGCAAGCATCAAGCAGCTCCTGAAGCCAGCCAGAGCCAACTGTGCTACCAGGCTGGCTCTACTACATTTCCCAGGGACAGATTTGCAAATCTGGGGACATTCCGGGGACGGAATTTGTCCGGAGACAGATTTGCAAATCCGGGGGCTGTCCCCAGGAATCGAGGACGTCTGGTAACCCTACAGTAAGTCTATTTCTTACACTGAGAAAAAAAATCAATCCAAATCAAGACACTGATTTGCATCTGAGAGCCAATTCACGGGGGCCACCAGGTGGCGTGTTGGAAGATGGCCGACAATAACATCTCTCTGACCCATACAAGGTAATTAAGGGGCTGCTATGGGAAGTATGCAGTCTTCCTACCCCCCCAGGAGGTGGGGGGGCTGCCTTGCCAGCGGTGTTCACAATGCACCCCCTGATCCGAGAGATGGGGGTGCCGAACACTTGGCACGAGCCCTCGATGAAGTCAGATCTTCCTGACGCCGATTCCAATCAGCGCGCGCTGGTTAGCTTCAGCTCGGAATTATAATTGGAAACATACGATTGGAATGAAGCTGAAGCACATACATCAAGTAACGTTTGAGAGATAAGACTGCTGATTAATGGATCTCTGTGACCAGGAGTGACGGACGGATAAGTAAATCTTCTGATGAATCACCATTAAGAGACTGTATGTTTGGAATGAAGGGGGGGTGGAGGAAAAAACTTTTTTTCTTTGCACGATGTGATATTAATAACCCTTCACCCCAGATAGAAATAAGATCGTTGCGTTTTTACTAATCACAAGCAGGAATTCAAGAACTGTGTGGGATGGATTATAACAGGAGAGAGGATTGGTGAACGGTGAGAAAGAGGAAAATTTTTATGACGCAGTTAAAAAATGGCATCTCGCCAAGACAGGCTTGCCGGAGAAAGAAGGACAGGGGGAGGAGAATCAGGACCATTGGAAAGAGAAGGAATGTTGGAACGCAATCTTGACCTGACAGAGCCTCCTGATTTATTTGGCAAGCCTGAGAAAAGTAAAGGACAGACTGAAGATTCAGTTTTTTTATGGAAGCATTGAACAGAGGCTGTCCCTGAGTGATATGATCTTTGGAGAGTACAAAACCCACACAGAGGATGTCTGTTTTCAATCTGCTTGTGAAAATTATCAGAGATCGCAAAGAAAGGAATATACGATAACAACAAGAAGATGAAGAAAGTAATAAAGGACTATCTGCATTGAACTGGATAGAACTGTTTAATTAAAGCAGTAATATAAGTGATGTTTGGACTCGTTCGGAGTTTTGGACTCGTTCGGAGCTTGATGTATGGGTACCCCCAACAAAATTTAAAATTTGGCTGTATAATTTGGAACTAATGTGATTTGGATAATGTGATGTGATTGGCCTGTTAATAAAAATTATTAAAAAAAAGAGAGAGAGAGAGCCAATTCACATTACATGACATCAGAGTTGTGCTAATTCACAAATGGATAATTAGTTCACTCTTAGTATATAGGAAATCAATCACAGGACTGATGTGATGGCAAAGACAGTAAAACACTTAGCATATACTAGGCAATTCCGAACTATATTTACCCAAAAGAATGGGCAACACTTTTTGTTAGGCTTTCGGTGAGAAACACCAGGGTTACACTACTGTTTCCTGCAGAAAATGTGGGATCGTCTAGCATCTTTATTACATACCTGTCAGGGGTTCAGGGACAGAGGCACAGGGTAGGCAGGAGATGGAGAGCGATGGGGATGAATCCCAGGACAGCGAGGAAGAGGATGACAATGACTCAAGAGATTCCATGAGTCTTTCCAGCGAATCAGAGGATTCCCAGAAGGGGGCGCCGGTGGTCAAGGCCAGGGGAGCCCCAGGGGGGACGTGTCAGGAACAGGGGGCCAGCGGGGGATCCCAAAGTGGCAGCTGGGCGTCAGGACCAGCCTCCCCGCCAGAGTGCAGCGAAGGGGGTGGAGGTTCCAGTGTATCAGGGGAAGCTGCTCCGGCAGCAGAGCAGGGAGGGAGGTCGGAGCAAGTCACCCTCCCGGAAGGGGAGGGAAGTAGTGAAGGGAGTAGTGTAACTGTCAAAAGGAAGGTTAGAGGTTGGGCGCGCGCGCAAGTTCAAATGTAGAGGCGCGCGGAAGTACAGGGAGCCCGGAGGAAGAGCCAGGTCCCAAAGCCCGCAGGAGGGGGAAGAGCAGTCTGGGGATTCCGCGTCAGGGGAATCCAGGAGGGCGAAACCCCAGTGGGCAGGAAGACCCTGCGGAAAAGGAAAGAGAGGAAGAGGTGGAGCAGCGCAAGCCTCTTAAACTGGTGCAGGGGAGGGACTGACTCAGAGGGGACTTCAACGGTCTAAGCGTAACAGACGTGGGGCTGCGCGCCTTGGATGTGAAGCAAACAATGAACTGCAATAAACACTTTTGTATATAAGAAGAGATTGGCGTTGGTCTTTTGTGAGCTGAGACCTGAGGCAGCCCTGACAATACCTTTAGGCTACAGGCAAAAATATTCCTCTTCAACCAGGCCTTTGGCTGATTAATATTGTACAGCCTTTTAAACCTGTTTGTGGGAGTGGGTGGTGATTGGTTTTGTTCTAATTATTTATTTGCACTTTTATCCTGTATTTTTATACTGTGAACCACCCTGAGATCTTCGGATGAAGGGCAGTATATAAATTTAATTAAAAAAGATATACATGCAGTGCTTTTTTTCTAGAAAAATAGGGGCCAGTACTCACCATGAAGTTGTTACAGTAAGCGTCGCACTTTTTAACAACAACAAAAGAGGTGCTGGTACTGTGTACCCTTGAGCACCCCTTGGGGGGAAAAGCGTTGTATACATTTATCTTTAAACACCTCTCTACAGTCGTACCTTGGATCTTGAACGCTTTGGTATTCGTACGCTTTGGCTCCCGAACACCGCAAACCCAGAGGTAAGTGTTCCAGTTTGCGAACATTTTTTGGAAGCTGAACGTCCGATGCGGCTTCCGTTTGAGTGCAGGAAGCTCCTGCAAGCAATTGGAAGCTGCACCTTGGTTTTCGAACTGTTTTGGGAGTCGAACGGACTCCGAGAATGGATTAAGTTCGAGAACCAAGGTGCCACTGTACATGCTTATGGAAACCATGACCCAGTCATGATTCCAGTTCCCATATGCAGGCATAAGCCTGGATGATGTCTCCACTTTATGTATTTGCTGCACAAAACTCCAGTGTAATGTGAGTATTTCCCATGCCATTCCTTAGGTCTCGCTGAAAGAGCAAGGGGGGTGCTTCACTGAGTAGAATGGTGGTTAATGGCCACACGTGCAGAAGGCTGTGCAGAGTGGCAATGAAGGGATATGTCTGGAATTTGCTCAAATACGACATAATAAAGACTGCATACCAAGAAGAACATATGCTTAGACACCCTGATCTTCATCTTGTTGTGGGTTGTGGGTTTTTTTACACTGTTTCTTCTGTTAAGTCACAATCTTAGCTCTAAGAGATATTTGGCCCGTGAATGCATTCCTTTTTCTTTTTCTTTTTCTGTTTTGTGCCTTGCTTTTTGGCACAACCAAACCTAAGCAGAAAACTCTTTTTACTCATTAACTGAAGTTCCTTAAACACCAGTTCCTCATCCACAGCAGTAGGGTGAATGACACATAGAGAATAATAACTACGAATTAACATCATGTAACCATTCCAAGGGAAACGTCTTGTTTCAAAAAGGCTCAGTCACTGGAACATTTTCATCTGGCTCACACCACCTTCAGTCAGATTAAAACATTTGATTTGCCTAGGTCTCTGGCAATTATTGCTATAGTAGCTACATAACTGTGCTGGAAGAAGCAGTTTTCAAAGTCTGTACTATAGCAAATGCCAAATATTTTTCAACACCACAAATAGCCATAGAAATTGTAATAAATATTTAGGAATACTTCCCCTCCCCAAATGTGACTATGCTTTTCAGATGACCCAAAACAACATTTTCAAAATCCTTCTCTGAAACTATGAAGACTAGAAGTGTTTTGCACACACTCCAAGTGGTGAGAGTCTTCAGGGATGCCTGCATATATCTAGAATTTGGTTCCCTTGCTAATGGGGACCGTGGTACCATTATGACATATGGCTTAATATACACACATATACAACCTAGGATGGAAGGGTTCACAGCATTAACACGCCAACAGATCTTGTCTCCTCATTAGGTTAATAGGGCTTCCCACAAGGGCATAACTTTGAGTTCAGCACAGCTGAGTCAAGCCTCTCTTCCAGCCTAGCCAAATGCAGGAACACACAGCCCCACTTGGCCTATCCTTGCCATTCCTAGGATACCATGGCATCCAGGATGGTGCTGTGGGAATTCCATCTATTTGTCTCTATGGCAACAGGGCTCACTCTTTAAGATGCTGGTGACAGACACTTAGCTGAGCGGCTAAGGCGAGGAACTGGTCCAAGTTGTTCAACAGGTTTCTTCTTCTAGATTTGAATCACAGATTCAGAATCACAGGCCAGGAAGGGACCCACCATTATTCACTCCAATCGTGTAACAATAGTAGCATACCATTTTTCCATTGGTGCTCCAGAATTCAGCTGCACAGCACCTTGCTAAACTTACAGTTAAGACAAATTTGATTTCACAAAGAAGACTTTCTCTTAAAGGCTATATGAAATTATGACTTACATATATGAAGCACTCATTGAAGATTTGAAGCGCTCGCTGCACATATTTTATATTGCCTTATCATCTTTACAGTGAGCTTCAATGCATGCTGGTTTGACACCCACATCAGCACAATCCTATACAATGTACGGTAAGTCCCTCTGAGTTCTATGCAGCTTATTCCCATGTTTCTGTTTATAGGATTGGAAATTTAGGGTGCAACCCTACACTTGAGATATACAGAATACTGGTTATGGGGCTATAGGTTATAGTGGAAGCTCTGTTATGTCCTACAGTACTGCGTAATTGTATAATTTGCATTCTTTGCTTCACCCATTTTTGCCTCTTGCCCCGCTCACCCCCTCCATCTTAAAAGGGTCCTGCTTTGGAGCAACCTAAGAGTACTGTGAATATGCCCAGATGCCACCTAGGGTGACAAATCCTGGAACAAAGGGCATTATATCCTTTTGACCTTGCTCCGTCATGCTCTGTGTAAGTGATACAGTATTCTAGAAGGAGAGCCATAATTACGGTTCTGGCCTCTTGAGCCAATTGCGCCTTGGCATACCTTCCAGCTCATGTTTGGTGTACCCATGCTAACCACAGCGATCTAAACTGGGCCTGCAACGCCCACTTTTTACTTTTGCGGTTCTCTAGGAAAATTCTAGGAAGCGCACACTGCAACCTTAGTGACTCTTGGTCAATACATATAACCACAAGCTGTTGTTGCAAGGACAGGAGCAAGCAAGTGGGATGCGATGCATAGATAAAGGTGGAAGTAGATTTTTAATGGTGTTTTTATTTATTTGAATTCTTTGAAAGTTAGATTGTAATGCAATCAGCTACAGCAGAAGAAACAGAAGAAGGAATAAATATTTAATGTGACAGATGTCTCACCTCCCATCTTCAAACACAGATTTACAGACATGCTGTAGACCACAAAGCTCATAGACCACTGGTGGTCCATACGCCACATTTTGGGAATCCTTTAGGACTGCTATACGTCCGAATGTTCCTGGACATTACTGGGATTTCAAAGGCGGAATAGATGTCCAGCCCAACAATTTTGAGCTCAACAACTTTTGGCATGTCCTGGTTTTTACTTTTTGAAATATGACAACCCTAAATCCTTAGACTAGGCAATTAGAAAAATAGTACAAGCTGCTTGCTCTGCACCCCCATCCCCATTTGCCAATTGGGACAGGGCGGATTTCTCTTGACCTCCACCTCCTCCCACAATGCAGTTGTAGCAAAATGCAGGCAGGCACCATAATGGCTCAGTCTGGGCAATGACTGTTCAATCTGTGGGACAACTGCCCCACCCCTGCCATGGATTCCTATGCAAACAGTGTCCCCCCTCCCATCATAATTAATCACTATTTTCTTACCCCTTAAGCATAACAATAATCAAGTTACGAATGCTGGACCAGGGCTAGTTCCACGCTAGTTGTGAAGAAAACATAATCCTGTTGCTCTGGAGAAATCACATGAATTGTTTTAAGACATCAAAAAATCAGATCAGCTATGAAGCCTCACTTGTCCCAGACATAGTGTGTAACAGACCAGGATCTGAGCTATAAATCTCTTTGATTTTTCAAGGTCTGTGTGTGGGAAATCCTGCAAAAAGTAGGGAATTGTTTCATTTCTCCCAGGATTAATCAGCCCATTTAGAAGGGACACACATCTGGACTCACCATGGATGACAGAGGCCGGTACACACTCTGTATTCTGGCCCAATCAAAATAAACACAAATATCTGGGTTCAAGCTAGGTCAGGAAAGAGATCGAAACAGACAAAAATGCCTCACCAAACAAATCTAGAGATAAGATCAAGGTGTGAACATAACATTGTTAAATATTTTAAAGGGTGTCTGTCTGTAAGGGATGTCTTAAAAGGTTATTTATACATACTAAGACAGGTCAAGATGACTTGAACACCCAGATTATCTTGATTCCTTGTTATTTTCTGAAAGCTGTCTTTTATATCTTTGTTCATGTTGTTGTACCTGGAAAATATTAATAAAATTAAGTTGCAAAAGAAAGCTTTAACTGACAGGGCCAATCTAGGTTAAACATGAGGGAAAGTTTCCAAATTATACGAGCAGTTCAGCAAGAGAACATGCTGCTCAAGGAGACTAGAGAATCTCCATCTTCAGAATGGAACAGGAAGGCTTCTGAACACATTCTCAAGGAAGACATTTTCACCCTTAGAAGTGAGAATTAGACATGAGGATTTTTTTTGTAATTCTATGGTTCAAGCCTTTGTAAACTTACCTGTGAGACAGCCCTGCTGGTTCTCACATAATCTGTTGTTTGTTTTAACCTAACTATAGTTTGTTTGATCATCTAAAGCCAGTCCAGCAGACAAATCATGGTTTGTTTTCTTATAGCAAACCACAATGTGAAGCCATGGTTTGTTTTAACTATGGTTTGGTATTATATCCGCTGGTCTGGCTTAACCATGGTTTATGTGGCCACATCAGACCCTCATCAATATACAAAAGCACAATGCAAGAACTGCTGGAAAAGAATGAAAGTTTTGGAGAAACAATCCACTCCTTGTTTGTTTGTCTGTCAAATGACTCGTGGTTTGTTGAGCAAGCCATGGTTACAACAATCCATGGCTTAGTGTTTTGTGGCACATGGCAAACAAAGCCAGTGCAACCTATTTTGGAGGAAAAGTTTCACACCTAGGGTGTGCTCACATTACTGCTTTAGAACACAGTGAAACTGTTCCCTGCACTTTCCCCTCAGCTGTTCACAGCACAGCTTCAAAGGGTTCACACCAGGGAACATTGTGAGAGTACTTGTTTTTACCCAATGCAAAGATGTTCACACCTTGGCTAGAAACAAATGGCTTAAGAGTTCCAAGTGTGAAGCTGGTTTGAGAAACAGCACACCAAATAGCAGCATTTTACAGTACACATATGAGTTTTGGATAACATCAAGCAAACACAGATTTAAAAACAGGAAACCAAAAGAGTGCACACTAAACAGGGATGTGAACACAGCCTTAGTGTTTGTAATACTGTGAAGAGCTGGACTGCTGTAAACTAAGACTTAGGTCTGCACTTTGTCACATGATAGAGTCCTTTCAAACTCAAGCTTGGAAGCTGAAGAAAGTTTGGGCATATATACTGAGGGGGGCACCAGTTAGCACCAAGCAAATACCAATCTTGAGCACAAACTAATTCTATAGTGCAAACAGTCTCAATTTTTAAAAAAAAAGGTTTAGAAATTTCTGTCAATCTCACCAAATCACTTCATCTATTGTAGTCCCTCTGGAGCTAATATATTTAAAGCAAACAAAAATGTTTTTCTTTGTCATCTAGAGTTCAAAATCTTTGGGCTGCATTCAGAACACAAGGAATCTGTATCCTGAGCCCTGCAATTCTTACAAGGCTGCATTCTCAGAGCCATCTTGTCATGGCTGCTGATCACATTAAGCTCAGGGGAGGTCATCTTTTGGCCATGATGAGTTCAAGCTATGACAAAGGGAGAAGTGGATTTGGGGAGGAAGAAACTGAAGGAAAGTCTCTTGACAGTTTCTGCTCAAATTATCTGTTCAGTAAGGAAAAGGAAACATCTTTAAAAGTACTTAAGTACCAAGTGAGTGACCCTTCACTGCTGGAATGCTGCCTCCCTAATGATGCGGAGAAGAAAAACAGCCATTTCTGGCAGGCTTAGTCTCATGCCAGAGGGGGGCGGGGGCGGGTTTTAAAATGCCCGATCAAAATAAATATTGCTTGGAAATCCTGGCATAGGAAATGTAACTGACAGCCAAGACTTAGCTCATCCTGGGGGGGCAACCGAGGGAAGCCTGTACATCTCATCCCTCATTCCAGTATGTGGAGTAATTGTCCCTGTAACTCAGCACTGTCTCTCTCTCTCCTCTTGTCCAGATGTGTGGATATGGATGTTTCTGTGTGCAATGTGAAAAAAGAAACTGGGGAGAATGTGCTCCATCCTCTTGGGCAGTACTCATGGTTCCCAAAAGAACAGTGTTCAAACAGAAGCAAGTTTTCAATATGCAGCCCGCAGAGTCTTAAAAAATTAATTACGTCCTAAATTGTGCTGTGTGTCTGTGATGTGTCTTCAGAGAAAAACACTGAAGAGAGATAAAGAAGGTATGGGAAACATGACAGATCAGAGAGGATCAGTAAAAGTAAGATGTGGCAAGATGGGAAGGGTACCAAGGAAGGGGGAGAAGGACCTCCTTTTCTCTAAACACCTAATAACTTCCAAAATCTCTGTTTCATATGCTCCAAAAAACCACTTTGACAGCAGTGCTTGGGCTAATACAAAAATGTCAATTCTATGGTTTTTGTCCTTTTAAAATGTAAGTGATCTCTTATGTCATATATATTATTGAGAGTAGTTAAAGAAAGGTGTTTGTTTTCCCTTTCCCTTGTAGGCTGATTTGCAGCTGCAGACATCTTCAACAAGGTTATAGTGTTATCTGGACAAAATGGAAAGGCCTGGAGGTTTTAGAGCGTTAACCACGGCTAGGGGAGAGAAGATGAGAAGCAGATGATTCAGTTACACAGGAGAGGAAAACAAATAAAATTTAAACCAACCTGAGGACTTTTAAAAAATGGGTCTCCATATGATGATAAGCAATGAGAGGCTTTCTGGATTCCTCCACCCAACACCACCAGACATAAAAGAAAGTCTTTCGGTTTTTATGATTTCTGTATTTAAACTTTGTAATGTATAGTTTTAAGGGACGCGGGTGGCGCTGTGGGTTAAACCACAGAGCCTAGGATTTGCTGATCAGAAGGTTGGCAGTTCGAATCCCCGGGACGGGGTGAGCTGCCATTGCTTGGTCCCTGCTCCTGCCAACCTAGCAGTTCGAAAGCACGTCAAAGTACGGTAGATAAATAGGTACTGCTCCGGCGGGAAGGTAAACGGCGTTTCCGTGTGCTGCTCTGGTTCGCCAGAAGCAGCTTAGTCATGCTGGCCACATGTACGCCGGCTCCCTCGGCCAATAAAGCGAGATGAGCGCCGCAACCCCAGAGTCTGTCCCGACTGGACCTAATGGTCAGGGGTCCCTTTACCTTTAATGTATAGTTTTAACTACATCCAAGAAATAGAACCTGAGAGTCCTTATACTTGCAAAGAGACTGAGGGCTCTTCATCCTGTGTCTAGAAAGCATGGGTTCAAGTGGTTTTCTACTTGCCCTAGGTCAAGGCATGGGTCAGAGTGGTTTTGTCTTTCCCCACTGCTTTCCCCCACTGCTTTCCCCTGGAAAACCCTCTCTTTACCATTAAGTTGGAACAAACAGCAATATGTGAAAAACCCAATTTGTTCCGATTTAGCAGTAAACCTTGGGTTTTCCGGGGGGGGGGGGGAGCGTGAGTGACAGGGCAAACAAAGGTGCGGATCAGCCCTTGTACTTCACGGCTGGAAGGATAAATACCTACCATCTGTAATCCTTACTGCCCTTCCTACATTTGAACATGTATCTTATAATCATCAGTCTTGTCTGGATATTTATTTGGACATAGAGACTGTTTATATTAATATATATGTTGAAATTAGGATTTATGAATCACTTTTGTTCTTAATATGAGCTGACACTTGTTTCTTTCTTTTTTTCTCTCTGTGATATTTACAATAAAATAGTGCTACACGCCACCCCAATCTCAGAGCGGTGTGAGATTCCAGGGGTCCAAGTGCTTACCCAGGGTCTGTGTGTTGTGTTCTACCCCCTCCTTGTTGCTGCTAACCCAGTGAAACTATTCCCCCGCCAGCCTACATCATCCAGACCTGAAATCCTAAACCTTTCTTGTCTCTGCCCACAAACACACTGCTGGAGGAAGGCCCCCATACCTCCTTTTCTGGTACCTCTCCACCCTCTTAATGGCTTCCTTGATGGGTTAATGACGGGCCACCATCCGCCTTGGATCCTCCAATGGCCCACACTCAACTAGCTCTGCCAATAAGCCAAATCCAGGGGTTTCCATGTTTAGACAAACCTTGATTAATTCTAACTTTTGCTAAATCTAAAAATTATGGATGACTTGCACCCACAAACTCTGACACCCAGTATCTATAACAATATATATACTTTAAAAATAAAAAAATAAAATACGGGAAACATAGGATGCCTTAAAACTGTCCAAACAAAGCCAAGCCCAACAAACTTTGCAAATCTTTAAAATCTCACAAATACCACAAAATGTCAATGACAGTGAAATATTTTTTCATTAATAATGAGTTCTCAACTTTGGTGAGAGAGATCAAATACAAATCTAAACGGTGTGACTTGAGACCATATTTATTATTTACCAGCACATTGATATGCTCTGTATAGAACAAAGCAAAAATGACACCACCTCTTCGCTTAGATCAGACAATCCACAAATTTAAAAATGCAACGGATATGCACATAGAGCTCTAGAAGTTTAGAGTATAAAAATTCTTGTCCTAAATATGCTGTTTCAACCCCGCACAATTTAATGTGCAGGGTGTTTTTTAAAAAAGCCTTGCTTCTCCTCATTTTTGTTTACCATCCTCCTTTTCAAAAGTAACCAGGATCTTTGTACTATAATCCTCAAACTGCATTCAGAATGCCAGCAATTATTCCAATGCAAACTCCACACAGCTTGTAGGAAATGAATTCCTATTTGATGCCAAGGCTGGGGAACCCTAAGACTGATGCATACAGTAAAGAGATGGGAAGCCAGTGAAAGTCTGGCAGGAGGAAAGCGATTGCTTGGGACGAGTTTACCTTACCCCTCATGTGCCCACTCAACTACTTTGGTTGGCAGAATTCAGTTGACACTACTGCAGGTGCCACATTTGTAGGAACTCGATTGTTGGGTGTGCCAGCATCTGCACTTTGGAACTCCCTGCTTATTGAGATCAAGCAGGTGCCTTCACTGTACTCTTTTTTTTTTTTTTGATCCTGCTAAAAACATTCTTGCTTAGACAAGCCTACCCGGATGCTTAGAAAGTTGCGGTAATTTTAATCTGTTTTAGTATTTTAACTTTGTATGTTTTAAAGTACGGTTGTGTATTTTAAATTTTATTGTTTCAGCTTTTGTAAACCACTTGGAGGTTGTTGGGTTTTCTTGACAATTAAGCAGTATATAAAGTTTATGAAATAAATAAAATCTGTGTGGATTTGGAGATTGGGGCAGCGTGCAACAATATGTTTATGTTTATAGGAAAAGCAAAAAAATAAGTAAAAAATAGCATCCTTGTTCATCTGATGCATGATGCTGGATGGTAGTGCTCTGTTCCTTATTTGCCCCAAAGTGCAGAGCATACCAGATGCTGATGGATCAGAATTACCTTGAACATACAGTAACAAATTCAATAGCTGTGCCAACATTGGAGGAAGAACTGGAAACAAAAAGAGGCTGTGCGGTATATATATATAAGAGATGAGAATGAAGAGGGAAAACACTGTCCAGAAATGGCTTGAGGTTCCAGTAAACTGATGATTCAAATGAGCATAATGAGATTTCTTCCATGTTTTGGGGAGTTTATAATTTTCGTATAGGCAGGGCATCTTTGCAAGTGCCATACACCTTGTGTACCAATATGGCACTGAACCATAGAACAGTATACAGTTTAAAAGGGAGAAGAACATGGATGCAAAGAGACAAGAGAGCATAAATTGGAGAGAGACAAAAAGGAAGGGAAGGACGAGCCATCCAACACAGCTCCAGACAAGATTTCTTGGACGGCAGTTGCTAAAATCAGTCTTATTTATTCCATTGGTTGGTTGACCACAGGAGATCAGGGTCCCATTTCCACCTGCGGAGCAAAGGACTGGCCATCACTCCTGAAGTTGCACATTAGGCTGCTTGGGGAGAGGAGCCATCATCATTCAGTAACTGTTCCCTGTTGTGGGCTAGGTTGTTACGGTTGATAGCCTTGGGAGCAAAGTAATCGTACTGAGACCTACTTGTAGTGATTGCACTGTGAAGTTTGGTTGTATCATTTTCCTTTTGTGGTCTGGATTTCTGTTCCTGATTACATGGTCTGGTTAACCCTCACACTGACCTGGGTCAGTGCTTACACCAGAGAACCACATGCAAACGTCCTGTTAGGCAAATAATCCACCCAGATGCAATTCATCTAGCTCCAGCCACACAGATGTTATTTGAAAGTGGGGTGGTGTTCATTACACATGCACTATACTGACTGGAGAACAGAACCGGGTGGGGTACATAAGGCGGGTGGACATAAATAACCTGGCCATTGTAAGTACCTAGCCACTTGCAGCTTAGGATAGGACACTTTGGTGCTGGGCCTCTCTTTATCAGGACACTGAAATACCTCAAGATCCCTAAACTGGCCAAGGTGGCCATGCCTGAACTACCTTCCTGGGGGTGATGAATCTATCGAATTTCTACAAACTAGATGTTAGCAGAAGATATTTACAGTACTTGCCGTGGTTTGTTTGATTGTTTGTGGGTTAACTTCTGGTTAACTCCATGACTTAAAATAAACCGTTGCTTAACACTGTGTGTGAAATATTGTTATCTAAACTTTCCCATCTGTTACATTCTGGACTGAAAATAAAGGATTCCAATATTTTTAAAAGATCCACAGGTGATCTTGAGGTCACTGCCTTCAGTGCCAGGCAACCTTAGTAGTGGCTAAAAGGACAAGTTGGCTCAAATCATAGATAAACATTGAGTTAGGCTAGAGCCAACAGATTGAGAGAGAGAGAGAGAGAGAGAGAGAGAGAGAGAGAGTCAAACACACCTCTTAGGTCTTTGTTCAATAAGCATGTAGATAAAGGAAGAGCCAATCAATATGACACACAAAGGCTCAGAAGTCCTTTAACACCATCCTCATCAAGGCCCTAGGAAAAATCAAGTTATGGCATAAAAAGGAAAGTGCTTTTGTTAAGCATATATATCCAGGCATAACTGAGCACTTTCTGTATTGGAAATACATTAAACACAAGAACATAAGAAGAGCCTGCTGGATCTGGCCCATGGTCGACCGTGTCCAGGATCCTGTTCTCACATTGGTCAACCAGATGCCTGTGAAAACACATAAGCAGGGTTCGAGAACAAAAGCACTCTCCTCTCCTGTGGTTTCCAGCAACTGATTTTCAGAAGCATTGCTTCTGAAGCCTATACTCCATGAATTTTTCTTACCGTCTTTTAAAGCCTTGTAGGCTGGCAGCCATCACTGCTTGCTGTGGGAGTGAGTTCCATAGTTTAACTATGTGCTGCATAAAGAAGTACTTTATCTGTCCTGAATCTTCCACCATTCAGCTTCATGGGATATCCATAAGTCCTAGTGTTACGAGAGAGGGAGAAAAACTTTTATTATCTCTTCATTTTCTCCATGCCATGCATAATTTTATAGACTTCTATCATGTTACCTCATACTCATCTTTTATCTAAACTAAACAGTCTCAAATGCTGCAACCTTCCTTCATAGTAGCTGAACTTAAGGATTATGGTTCTGCTCTTTTCAGGCTGTTCCCACTTTCCTGCAAGTATGATCCACTGAACTCAAGTGAAAAATTCTACCAGGATTTCAGCAACTTCCAACTGACCATCAACCGGCGACTGGCACCCACTTAAACTAACAGGGTGGAAGGCAGAGAAGCCATAAGTAGTTAAGAGTCATAGCCAATGACACACAGAGCCAAC